CATTTTGTTGAGACAGGGAGGCAGAATTTGATGACAATGAATTGCAATTATTAGCCAGAATCGGTAATGTATAATTTTCAACAAAGAAACAAGGTTCATAATTTTTGGAGAATTGAATTTCTTCTCGCCAGTTGGTAATTAAATTATTACGAAGCGAAGCTCCAGGAGGTCCATATTTGTAAGAAATAAATTCCGTATTATCAGAACACAACCACTTGTGTCTAGTTAGAAAGTTTCGCTCGCTAAGTAATTGTATAAGCGTCTTCAAAACTTTGTTAGTTTTAAAATTCATATTTTGTAAAGTCGCGCCAGCTCGAAGCTTACACGAACATATTTAACTTAACAACTGAAGAGCTCTTTCAATAACTGAATAAAAATAGGCTTGAAAAAGTGATTTTAAAAGTTTTTTTTAGAAATGCTAATCAACCAATAAGCTTGAATAATACTGATTTTTATGCATTCTAGAACCTACCGAAAAAAATTTAACAGATATTTTAAATTAAAATTTTTAATTATCAATTTTTCTATTTGATTGCGAGATGAGAGAATATTTTTCAATAGCCAAATTAAAAAAAAGTATTATTATTAATTTAATGAATAATTTATATTTTATTGATTAAAATAAAAAAAAATTCAATCTTCATCTTTTTCTGTTTTAGGGAATTAGTAAAAAAAAATTTTAAAAATGTATTACTTTTTTTTAAAAAATTTTAAAATCTTTTTTTGTAAATAAAAGAAAGCCAGTATTTTGGATGTTACACGTAATCTATTGCAATGAGCATAACTGGGAAATTTCTACTTTTATAGCAGTTAAATTGTGTAATCTTAGATATCGACAACTAAAAGTCAAAGTGTAACTAGTGCAGATTATAGTTAAAAAACTAAAAGTCTCGAGTTAAAAACTTGAGAAGCGTAACAATTGAACTTTAAGTTATCTCCCTTTGTAGAAATCGACAGGTCCGTTGTTAGGACGCCACAACAGTGTGACAGGCGACCAGAAAATAAGTTCTATACAATTTGTAATTTTTTTTTATTTCACTCTTCATCTTTTTTTGGTTACCCATTGTGAAAACATCCTAGGAGGAATTTATCTTCAATATTTATTCATAATTGGCTTCAGCTCAGTTCGTTCAAAACTTTGCAAGGTACGTTAAACAAAAAACATGACATAGCTGTAGTGTAAACAAATGGTAGTCAACGAATTCCTCACATCTGAACAAAAAAAAAAAAAAAAAAAGAAGTTTAGTCAAATTGTTTATTATTTCACTTCAGGGAACCAAACTTTTAATATTCAAAATATCTTTTCTGTAGAATGATGTAAAGACAATTTATTTTAAATAATAAAACATCAGAATTATTAATAAAACACGCAAAGTTTTTTCAAACCAGAAAAATTCAAATTGAATTGTCTTGGATCTGGAAGTAATTATTAATTAATTAACTGTATAAAACCTTTTGTGAAAAGGGTAACTTAATTAGTTGCACTTTTTTAAATTTAAAATACTCTTTTAAAAATACTGTTAGTCTTAAATCTTGAAAATAAAATAAGTAAATAAATCTTATTTTCTTTATGCCATAAATGTATTGTAAAATCATGTATTTCAGTCCGAAAGTGTATTCATTCATCATGGTATACTGTAAAGCTTATCAGGATTTCAATAAGGTGAAGTTTACATGGTTTTAAAATTTACAAGGAATGGTGCAGTGAAAATTTATCAAATAAATTTAAAAAGTGAACTGTGGTAAGATTCTTAATCTTAAGAATGTGTGGTGAAAATTTCTTACTTCATTATGGTTATTTGATCAGATTTTTACAGTGGATTGAACTGAGAACTTTTCATATCTCTCTCTCTCTCTCTCTCTCTCTCTCTCTCTCTCACACACACACACACACACACACACACACACACACACACACTAGTAGGCACTTATCTCTTCTTGAGATAATAATAACATCTTGCTTGGACAACATTCAGTCCTTTAGTACACAAGCCTGGGTGATGGTATATAGAGGTTATGCACTGTCCCACCTCTCAATTATACTGACAAAATCCAAAGGAATACAGGGCATGGCTGCAAGAGTGTTTATGCATTATATATATATATATAGTAATCAAAACCCAAAATAAAATGGTAATCAAAATCCATGAAATATTTATTCTAACAATTGTGTTATGAAACTCTGAGTAGTTTTGATTATCATTTTAATATTATTGTATTAATATTATTATTATAATCTATTTGAGCTCTGTTGATTTTGGTATTGAGCCCTCAGTTTATTTTATATTTTAAGCTTTAACTTATATTTTATTATTTGTGCATGTGTGAGTATATATATATATATATATATATATATTGTGTGTATTTAGGCAGCATTTTTTCATTGATACATGTTTCATTAAATAATATAGACAAGTGTTGTCTATTTTATGAAAATTCTTTTCATGTCATCTGATAAGCTTAATAACATTATCATTAAACGAAGAAAGAAAATCACAATATTGATACATATTTTTTTAAATCCTATCTAAGCTTTTGGCTTACATAAGCCATTATCAAAGATGACAATTACATTACAATATATTAAGCAATACACAGACAAGACAGTGATGATAGTCTGTTTCTGTTTACATGGAAGATTTCCAAGCAACGACAAACTCGTGCATATAAGACGCTGGAAGCGAAAATCGCACCACAGCTCATGGCATCACACATGACCACATGAGAGTGAATTTGAGAAGTATTAAGTATGGGAAGCTGTTGGTATAAACCAGTGGCTTCTGTTACCAATTATAATTTCTGTGAGTCTATGCATAAAAAAAATATGTATTAATACTGTGATTTTCTTTCTTCGTTTAATGATAATGCTATTAAGCTTATCAGACGATATGAAAAGAATTTACATAAAATAAATAGACAACACTTGTCTATATTATTTAATGAAATATATATTTGAAAATATATTTGAAGGTACAAAATCTAATTACAGAAATAAAATTGTGTAGCTTAATATTACAAGACATGTTAAAAGTGAAGTAACCGGTTTCGCTCATGCTCTTCAGGCCTCTATGGGAGATTTAACTTAAATTAAAACAACGGAAATGTGTAATGAGAAGGAGAAGGGAAAAAAACAATACAGCGACAAATAACGGCGCGCCCCAACAAACATTCACGCTGTTTACACAGGGAAGGCTTGCAGGACCTGATATAAAGTGCCTCCAGCACCTTGAGATGAAATAACGAGTGCAACCAGGACAGAACAGTGAACCAATCAGCACTAAAATTAGCAGCACACCTTCTGTTATTTAAGAGTTGTTCACATATAGTGGAACCATAGGTATTTGGGACACGTCCATTCAAAGATAAGGTGTGATTCCTGATCTTGGTGGGAATATGCTGTTTAATTCTCATGTCCAGGCATTGAGTAGTTCTCCCTGTGTAGTCAGCACCACAACTACAATTATATTTGTAAACAATAGAATTAATTTGATGGGAAGGGAGAGCATCTTTGCACCCAGAAGGAAACATAGGTTGGGTTTGAAAAACTATATGGACCTCAGCTGAGAAAAAACAATGACGAACATTAGCTGAAATTGGCCTAATTATGCTTTCACACTTGGATCCAATCCAGGGCAATCTAAGATAAACAGGGCACTTTTTAACTGTATAAAGTTTGACCTTTCTGAACTCCACAATCTTGTTCCGGATGACTGAATGAACAGTATCGGGGTGGGGGATACCTAAACTACATAAGGTTTTCTTCACAAAATTGATTTCATCATCCAAGATATATATATATATATATATATATATATATATATATATATATATATATATATGCACATACTATTGAGTGTTATCAGATTAACCTACTTTTGAAATTCCAACATGAAAACTATCAAATTTTGAATTACACTATTTGCAACTTTTGTGGTTACTTTAAAATAATCTGACCTGAATATGGAGAAGAAAATCAATTCAAATGTAGCCTAATTTACTATTTGGAACCCAATCAGGCAAAGGCAACCATGTGGACACTCACACACATTTTTGCCCATTAGTGGTCTATCTTTCACTATATATATATAAATATATATACATATTAGAATTTTCACATTTTTCATTTTTGTTATAAAGATGTAATTTACTGTTAAATCAGTTTATAATGTAAAAAGATTATTACAAATAAAATTTACATTTAAACATGCCTACGTATATACATCAGTTTAATGCTAAAAATTTTGGCATTTTTGTTCTTGTTTCAATTTTAGAACTCTTTCAGAATCAGAAGAAATATTTCATATACTCTGGCAATAATTTTTATGGCTGAACAAATTTTTAGTAATTTTGTGGGTTACCCCATGAGGCGGTGCTATTTAAGTCTATAAAATGACAAATCATTTCCTTCACTCTTCTGCTTGCTCCAAGATGTACCAGGTCATTGATTAAAAAATCCCTGCTGGGGCACATTTGTTTTCCCCAGTTGACTGACAACCAAACTCTCTCTCACACATACACACACACATTCTTAATCGCTAAGTTTTAATGTCTTTTCTTTTCAACTCTATACATATTAATGTCATTTCTTTTTGTTAATACTTGCATTAATTGTTTGTTTAAATTCCATATTTTTTGTATTTTATATTTAACCAGACTCACATGAGTCTGTCAAATATTGTTTGCAGGACAATTGTTCCAGAAGCCATTAAACATTTACTGAAAAATGTCTACACCATGCAATGATTTGAATAAAAAAAATCTGTGGATTAAAATGGAAAGCCTAATCTAAGTTAGCAAATCTAAAATTATAACTGAATTGCACAAATAAAAAGTCTTTATAAAAGGGAAATCCTTTTGGATTTTCAGCGTTTGTGTCTTTATTAATTCAATAAAATGAGGCCTCTCTATGTTCCATCAAGCATTTTAAAATTTGATTGACTAGGATTTACATTTATTATTCTTATTTCAAATGTATGTTTTCTGTTTCCAGACTTTAAACCATGGCTCCATTGGAATGGGATAAAATCATGAAAGCTGACCTGGAAAATCTAGAAAATGATGGGGATACATTTTTTGAGATGCTTAAAGATGTAAGATACTATTTGTACTAATTGCTTCTGATATACCTTATGCATTAATTAATTATTAAAATCTATGTCAGTGCATTCATTGTTACTTTTGTGGTTTTTGTATCTATTTTGTTAAATATATCTTATTTTCTTCAAACCATTGTGTTTCATTTACTTTATAGATTGATAGCTTTATTTGCTGTATGAAAGAGTACTTAATAAACCAAATACTTCTAACACTTAACAAAAATATAATTTGGTTTTGTATACATATGAAACACTTCAGAGATTTGATCAAGCCTATTTTATATAGTTGTATCCTATATTTACACAAGATACAACACTGCTGATAGACCAGGAAGTTGTCAAACTGACTACCAGCTTTTAATGGGAGCATCCAATATTTTAAAATGTGATTATTAAATAATGAATCAAATACTAACTTGTACACATGCACAAATAGTAATGTTATCATGAAGGTATATTCAAGTAGCAGAAGACTGATGGAAATCATTCCTTATTGTGCCAAGTAGACATTGGCTCATAAAAAATTAGATCTGGGAAGAAGAACACTATTCAAAATGTAAATTTACTCGCAACACATTTTAATATAGATCTGCTATTGCTTCACCACTATATTTTTCTAATAAAAAATTTTGCACAATAATATCAGTTCTATAATATAGCATCATACTTATTAAAAAATACAATATTAAAATCTTGGCATTTGGGTAAAAAAAATAAATTTAATAAGTTTGACTTCTGATTAGATTTTAAAACAGTCTGATTCCAGAATGTAAGGATTTAGATTTTAAGTGAAAAAATCCAGTTGCATTAATTTTACCATTGGTGACTGACAATATAAACTTGATTGATTTTTGCATGCGATTTTCATTTTATACTCAGTTTGATCCAGAGAAGGAATCTGATCCTAGTCATTTAAAACAGCTCTTCAGAGTTTGTCAAAGTGTTATGAACATAAAGAATGAGCAGTTGGCAGAAGTTATTGCTGATATGGAAAATGAGGCCAGAAAAGATGCCAAAAGAGGTAACCATTTGTTGTATGAAATTAATTGAATTATTTAGATCTATTATGATGTATGATATTTAGATCTATTATGATGTATTTAAAATAACATCATTAGTAATAACATTATAAATTGGTGATAAAGAAATAATTTTGTTCTATTCTGAAGGTGAAATAATTTTTCCATTATCTTTCTTCAGACTCTGATGAATTTTTTCAATCTTAGAGATGTGTAAGGATTTATTCTTGTTCATGTCAGATCTCTTCTTCATGTCAAATTTCAAAGAGATTTGAACTTTTAATGGCTTGTTTTGTTTTACTGTTTGTAAAATTTTCTAAATATCTTTGTTCATTGTGCTCATTTTGTGTCATTAAACTAATTATTTTAGTCTAATCAGCTTTCTGCTTATATATTTTTAGGGATGACTGTATTTTACCTTAATAAATATAGATTAAGTAAAAGTTAAAATATTAGCATTAAGTCATGTTACTATTGTTTAATCAGGCAGGTGAAAGTGGTCTTGCTACAGATGATTTATTGGTTTTGTATAAAACTTAACATTATCTGTCTATATTTCTGAGATGAGATATTATGTATACTATTTACATTAATTGGACTATTGTCCTTATCTTTGTTGCCATATTTATCACAGTGTTTCAGCCGTTGGAATGTCAAATTGAACCCTTTATTTTGCTCGCTGGGATAGACTGTTCTAGTTTTTATGTACCATGTCTAATGGATGTCAGTTATCTCCTGTTAATTCTCCTCTTCAAGTTCTCCACTACCTTAACCAGGTATTGAACTCACAACTCTTTGGGTCCTATCACTGGATCTAATCAATGCTTTTATCTACTGTGCCATGTGTCCTTAAGGACATCTGTGTATGAATTTCTGGGACTTATAAACTTGATATCTTCAGCAACCATTTTTACCATTCAAACCACTTGAAGAAGGCTGAAGCATACAATGGTCGAAATGTTGTGATAAATATGGCAACAAAGATGAGGACAATAGTCCGAATAATGTAGAAACTTAACATATTCATAATCACAAGTTTGAACATTGAAAAATCTTTTTTGCCTTAATTGAAATGGTTTGCTTTTTCTTTTAGAAAGTCTTGTTTAGTTAGCCTAAGTTATCAAATTTAAAATCTACTGTTGGTCACAAGTTAATAAATTCAATTTGAGGAAGATGGAAAATTGAATCATGTAAACATATACTTACCTCTACTTTTAGTAGAAATTCTGAGAAAGAGACACACCTATTCATTTAATAAAAGAAGTGTATATGCCTATAAATATATCTATGGTGGATTTGAAGGTTTAATTAGAATCATTTCTAAGTTATTTTTAGAAAAAAAAAAAAATATATATATATAATAACTGCTACCTAAATATTTTCTTTTTCAGTTGAAAAACTGCAAACAAAAGTCAAGGAATTAGAAATGGACTTGAGGCATGCCAAAGTAAGATTTATTCTCTTGTTTTACATTGTCCTGATTGAAGATGATTGTGATTTACACATAACTAAAGAAATCAAATAGATTATTTTATCATGTTTTATTGCTCAGATTTGATCAATCAGATGTGAATGTTCAATAGTAACTTGAATTATTTTTGATTGAATAATCAGTACAAAATGATCAGCCTAAATCCTCATCAATTATGAATGTTTTTATGATTTTTTTTATACACAGACACACTATTAAAAATTAAAAAATGGAAATAAGAACTTTGCTCCACAAAAACTTCTACAATAGGCTACTTTTGATGGTTGATGCAAATCTGAGGAACAACAAAAGTTTGATTGGAGACTTTCACAGGAGGATAGAAAAGTACTTCAGAAGAAAGCAAGCAAGCAATGATTCAAGTCTCCAGTATGAAATGGGCCAATAAAGACAATATGAACAAATATATTAATATTTTTCTGTATGCATGCATATGGAAAATGAAGGCTTAAAATTCATTGCATCTCCCCAATACATGTTGCTATATTACTGAGAACTTTGCCATTTAAAACCCATGCAGTCAGTTACTTTTTATGTTATTCATTTGCAGGTGTAATGTGCAAAGGTTTCTAAATAATTTCCTAAAGGTTTTCTTTATTATTTAAACTGTAACTCTTCATCTGTGTTAAGTTTGTCTTTAAGGTTTCAACATTCATTTTGATTAAAAATAATTTGCATTTACAAACTTTTACATTTTATGTTGTTTTATTTTCAAACTGTATTTGATAATCTTTAAAAAAAATTGTGTTGTTTAATTCCCTTTTTAGAAATTTTCTAATGAAAAAGAAAGTCCATCAAGCACAAAATATTTGCGAGAAACAGTTTTGGAACTGGAAGATCAGATCCACCAACTAAATAAACATAAAGATGATCTTCAGAGAGATTTGAATGAAGAGAAAAGAGCCAATGAAAAAGTGAGCTATTATTCATTTTCAAATGGAACTTTTCCAAACAATCTAGAAAATTTTTATATTTGGAACGTATATTTTAAAGACTCAAGTTAGGAATTCGCCAAAATGCAATTAGTTTATTTCTAACCTGTAATGGGAGTTTCATATAATCAGCTATAATTTGATAAATCTAACAAATATTTAACATGTTAAGATTAAACATTTGTTGGTCATTGTATTTAAAGTAAATATTAAAATAAACTGCATCTGTGGGGTTGAGTGATAAGAAAATTTTTTTTGGAACCAACTGTAATGATAACTGTATCATCCTAAATACTAATCATCCATGGTAGTTTAGAATACATTTGGAGTACACTCACATACAAGTTTTGCATGGCAATGGCAGCATATACAGTGGATTAAATGAAAACTGTTGTCCTTCACCATGAGAATGTAAAGCTGCATACAGCAAGAATAACAAAGGAAAACATTTTGGAATTCAGTTGGTCTGTTCTACCCCACCCGCCATATTCAGCTGATATTGCATTAACTAATTTTTACCTTTTTCAATTGCTGCAAAATGCTTTGGTGGGAAAACTTTCTCTAACGCAAACCAAATTCAGGAGTTCATCAAAACCATTTTTGCATCTAACCCTGTGGAATTTTACTCAAAAGGTATGAAAGAGCTGCTTGATAAGTGGCAACAAGTCATTACAAATACTGGTGAACAAAGAACAAAATGCAATTAAACTATTTTTTGAGGAGTAAAGTTGACAAATAAAAAATGAAATTATTTATGACTCATCTTAAAATATTTTGCTATGTTTTTTATTTAAGAAATTCTTAGAAATACATATATCATTGTGTGAAGTACATATTGTGACATGAAATTATTCAAATTTAAGAAACATAATCTTAATGACTGTTTTTAATAAGAATTATAATGCAGGTCTGTTTTGATTCAAAAAGCTTTAGACTTTTTTGTTTTCTTCATGTATTTTTCTTAGATAATTACAATGCATTTTTAATGTTTAAATTTTTTATCATTTGAGACTTGTTAATTCTAATACCAAAGAAATTATATGGAAAACTGTTTTCCTCTTTCAGTACAATGAACAAGTGAAGAACTTAGAGAAATACAACAATGAACTAAGGGATGAGGTTTGTATTTAAGTTACCATCAAGTTTGATGAGAACTATTTTGTATGATTTTATTTTTGACTAATTACCAAAGAAACAAGTGCAATAATTCAGAAATGACAGCATTTGATATATAAATCAATCATAGTGAGTAGAAAATGTTGCCATAATCCTAGCCTATAAAAGCTTTGATGTAAGTTAATATTGGGAATGAATTTTTATGTAGTTCTTTCATGTGCAATTTCTGATTATGACATTTTATGATGAGTAACTGATCTTCACCAAGTAGCAAACACTTGATTATGACACACCTTGACTTTTGTCTAATAGTTCATAACTTCTTTATTAATGTTGATAATGAAACTTGAAGTGAGTAGAGTTAACTGCTAGTTATTTATGGTTTTTACATGTCTCATCAGAAAATTTTATGCTATGTCAATGTGCTGAGTAGATCACTTATGGAAGGCAGTAAATGATAAAGATGCATATCTCTTCTTATTTCCATTAGATTCTGCATTGTGTACATAATTAACCTGTCTAACATTCAAATTGTGAGCTAATCATCATCTACCATTAATTTTTCTTATCAGAATATTGTGGATATATCCATCCACACTATTGCCAGTTATGATCAGGAATTGATAAACGTCAGTAAGCATGCAATGTTTTCATCATGCTGGGAAGGAGGATATATGAAATAAAAGTAAATTTATCTGATTATTCCATCATTGATTGGTCACAAAATCAATATTATCAATTTCTTCAAATATACAAGTAAATATTTCAAAATTACTATTTTTAATATATATACCTCTTTTGCTATTTTAATTTTTTCAGTACCTTAATTTATATTTCTGATGCCATTAAACATGAGTCCAAGAAGATCTTAGATTATGGATAGAATTTTTTTCTAATAACATGTTGTATGATTTCTCATGGCAATGAACACAGTTAAATAGCATCTTAAGTAAAATTGAATGTACTACAAAAAAAATCAAAATTTTATGAAGGCCATAGCAATCATTTTATGTTTTACATCAATATATGTTTTTTTGCAGGTTAATCAAATGAGGCAAGATAACAGCTATTATAAAAAGCAATTGCAGATACACAGAGACAATCTAATGAGTCAGAATCAAGAAGAAGACCCAGAATATAAGCTTAAACTGATTGCTAAGAACCAAGAACTGTCAGAAGCTATGGAAGAGTTGCAGGTAACATTAAACTGAGGCTCTTAGATCAGCACCAACACTTGTTAGTCTTCTTATGGGTTTTAGGTGGTTGCTTCATGTTTTTAAAAAAGATATCTGGGGTTGGTAATGGTATACTTTGTCTTTACTATTTTTTCTTCTTCATTTTAAATTCTTCAACTTCATCACCAATTTATTTTAAAGTTATTTCTTTTGTATTACCATTGTTGTATGTTGTTAGCATAAGTACCAATAAGCAACATTTTCTTTGGTTTTTACTGGGTAGGAAACTATATGAAATGACAATACACAACATTTACTACTACAACATTTTGGGGTCCTAGTTTATTTTAAGACAACCAAATATGGTTGTTTAGTACTGTGTGGTTGGAGATAATTTTTTAATCCATTATGAGCTTTTCAATTGTCTATTATTAGCATTGAATCAGAGCTTGTATTTTCTCTCTTATTTAATTTGTAGTTCTGATATCACCATTTTAAAGTAGTTTTTTTTTTTTTTTTTTTTTTTACTGACATTTATCTTGCTTTCTTTTCATCTAACAAAGCTTATACTTTGCTTTCAGTTATTTTTCCTGATGCAAACTTTGAAAATATTCGTGTGGTGGATGACACCTTTGACAGTTATCTCCCTTGCATAAGAGATTTATTTATACTAGAAAGACACGTGAAAATTTCACGGTTTTCCTAATTTAAGTTTTCTAATGAATGTTAATACTTAACTCTTAAGTTAATGACCGAATAAGCTCATGGCGGGTTCTACGACAATAAAATATCTGCAGAAATTCCCCTAGCGTTAAATATTTAAGCTTAACAACTCTAGCAAAATATTGTCATAACCATCATAAATAATGAATGATGGTCATTATTTTAAGAAGTGGGTACAAATAAAAAGATCTGAAATTGATAACTTTTCTATTTCACAGAAGCAGCTGTTAAACACTTCTAACTTTCTTTCTTTCATTTTTTCAGTGAAACGAAGTAGTACTGTTATGTGCGCGTGTTCATTGTGCATATATCTTTTGTATTATTAATGATTCAAGAAAACAGTGAAACTCCAAATGTGAATCAACAAGTATATATTGAAATAACTTACAAAAACAAAATATACAATAACTTGTATTCAATGTATAGATTAAGGGAAAAGAAGTTGCTTCCCTTTTACTGTATTTTGATTTGTAATTGATTGTTCGAAAGAAAGTTCTCTAGAGATAAATGTTCAGGAATCAATGTTAGAACAAGTCTGCTGTTAGAATAGATAACACAAGAATACAATTGATCAGACTCTGTGTTGTGTTAGAGAAATTAACAGAGTCCTGGTTGATTGAACTTGGCTGAGTCACAGAGAGATATGTATATATGTATTACAAAATTCTGTGTCTGTGTGTGCGTTTGAAATGTTGTGAGTAAAGTCATAGGTTTGTGTTGACAGGCGAAATTTGGTGGACTCTACTGGCAGCTTGTGAAAAATTTGCCTCTTTTAAAGCTACAGATAGGCTCCCAGCGAAAACGTGGGAAAAGTTGATTTTGCACTAAAATATGTGATTGGTTAAAAATTGACCAATCACTAAATTTGTACTAATGAAAAAAGTAAGCAAGTTCAAAACCGAAGAATTCAAAGCAAAGACTGCAATGGCTAAATTGTCCTATAGAAAAGGCAGTATTGATTTATTAGCCAATCGCAGACGAATAAAATGTGGGTGTGGAAAAACATAGCAGTCACTACAATACCTCTCATTCCACAGTCAAAATAGTTCATTATTTATGAGGCATTGGCAGGAGATGTTAAACACTTTTTTCTTCCATTATTTCTTTCTTTCTTGCTAGCCAAATCCCTGTCTTACAAACATTTCTCTTAATAATAATTTAAAAATAATACAGCAGACAATGTTATTTTAATTAATTTATGTAATTGGATTTTTGATGATTGCCTTCCTCGGTTTTTGTTGTTTGATACTGTATACCTGAAAAATGGTGCTTTTATCGCAGTCGCCATTGTTCTCGGTCTTTTGGCTGAGATCAATCTGTTCTTATCAGCTTAATCTGATTCTCTCTCCCAACTTCTATCTTCCCTTCTTTCTTTCATTTTCTCACTGAAATCAAGTAGTGTCTTTTCCCCTCTTTTCATGTGATTAAAATGCAGAATAGTCCTTTATTTATGAGATACTGACAAGATGTAGCAGTTATGTTAACTAATGAAGGGAAGGACAAGCACAATTAGTATATTTATATATATATATATTTAAAAACTCGCATATGGAAACTTAATAATAGTCGAGACTTAACAAAATAAGTCATTGCTTTCAAAATATGATATACTTTTGTTATTAGTCATATAGAAATGTAAATATTTAATTGCATTTTGTGACATAATAAGTACATACTTGCAAATCAGATACATGGAAAATGTATAGAAAAACTACAACTTCTAACTTGACATCTTTAAAATATTGAGTTTTAATAAAGATATCCCAGAAGCATTGATTGCTTGAATTTTTATGTTTTCAATACTTTACTCTATTGGAATATGGTGTTAAATATTACTTTTTATTTATTTGGATTGAGAAATATTTTTATTTGTTCTTTGGTGACTGTGATCTGTTTTTCTTTAATTTTTACTAAAATAGAATTTTGTTTCTGATATTAATATAAATGTACATTTGTTGTTTTCTGCTCTTTTTATTTTGCTGTTGTGAGGAAACTTTACTTTCTTTCTAACAAATTGTTTCTTTGTTTCAGAACTTGACAGATAATAATGAAGAACTGAAGAAAAATTGTGACATTTTGACAGGAAAATTATCTGAAGTAACAAAAAATATGGAACAATTGACAGATGATTATTTAAAACTTAAAGTAAGTTTTCTTTATCTCTACAACTGTCGTAAGATAGTCTACATTAATTCTTTTTGTGTCTATTTGTAACATTGAAATTTTCACTTTATTGTCAGGAAATAAGTATTATTATTTCAGAAAATAACATATAATTGTTATAAATCACAAGTTTTGAATATAACCATATGAATAAAAAATGTTATTATCCAAATAACTGTTTTTAAAATTCACATCTTTCTACCTATAACATTCTATCAATATTTTCTTACTGATTGTTTCTACTTTTAGTGAAATAAAATTTCTTTTTATGCAAACACACACACACACACACACTTTTTCTAAATCTATATGTCTAAGCTCTCAGTAATACCAATGAATGATAAATTAAAGGAATTTTCTATTAGATTATTAGTCAAAGTGAAGGCCTGAAGATTACACTTTTCATTTTGATGTTTTTTCAGTATATACAATTACTTCAGAAAAATATGCAAGATATTTTAAATTATAAGAATATTTGTCATTAATTTCATTCAGTGCTGTTCCTTCCAGTTTTGTATATATTTAGATTTTAAAATTTGTATTTTAATCACAAATATTTGTTAATTTTGACAGAAAGTTACTCAGGAGGAAGACACAGTTAATGACCGACTAAGAGCAGAAAATCAGTACATGAAGACACAGGCAAGTAAAATTTATAGAAAACAGCATTTGTTTGAAATCATTTCCAATTTTAGGTGACTATCCATATTAAATAGAATTTGAAATTGTATGTTATTATTATTTACAGTTATTATTTTATATAATGATTATTAATTGTACAAACTTAATGTTTGTGACATGTATCAAGGAAATCTCATCTGCTTGACCAACTGTGGAACATAGACTTACTTCATAACCTGAGTCATTTTGCTTCTCACTGTCACATATCTTTTTTACTTGCACAGGTCGATAGACATAATACACACTGTTTAATAAATAAAAATGAAGCTGATGTTTGCCAACCATTCCAATAAACAATCTAATAAATAGTGTTTATTATTTTCATTGTAAATTCTCAAAAACAAAGAAAATGTACAAATTCACTTTCATGTTTAGGTTTTATTACAATTCTAATCATTGCTTTTTAAAACAATAAATATTGCTGTGGAGTGAAGGTAGTTAAAATAATAGTGGTGTCAATGGAAAATCCCGTCCTTTTGATACTCTAATTATTTGCAGGCACAAAAGGTTCAAGATTGTCATGAAGATAATTTAAGAACATGACTCAAGTTTTTATGTCAATGCTTTGGTTTTATAGCATCTTATAGTATTAGACAAAATTACCCCTAATGTAGCCTATTTTATGTTCAATTTTCTTATCTCCTATGCCAAATTTATTATTACTAATACATACACCAAAGTATTTGAAGTGTTTTGTATCAACTAATTCGACTTTCTGAATTTTTATGATGGATTCAGGGTATGTGACATCACTGTTTTCATTCCAATTCCACATTCTAGTTTCTATTTTGAAAAGATGTACTTTGAGTTCTATTTCTTAGAACATTTGGTAGTAGATGTTAATTTTTTTGTTCAAGATGATTTTTATCCCAACTATAAATATCTATATCATCAGCAGACCCCCACCTCCTCCTCAATCATCAGTCCATAAGCCTAGGGCATGAAAAAATAACAGTTTACTATTAGTAAATTCATTTGGATATGGTATAGAATGCTTAAATGATCAGTGCCTGTCTCTTCATATCTATATACAAATATACAATATGCACAGGACATACAAATTGGTTAAATATTGAAACTTTCTTGGTGAATATTGATTTTTCAAATGAACATTTAATTATTTAATAATGAAATAACCTTTTCAATTGAAATTACCGAAGAAAATTCCTCTTAATTTAGGACATTTTTTCATGGTCTACTTTCTGTAACAAATTCATAAACTCATCAGATTTGCCTCCCCTGTAAATGAATACGGAGTAACTCATAGCAAAAGGATATATATTAAAATGTCATATCCCTTCTAGATATGTGATCATGGTTTTTCACAGATTTCTTTATTATATATGAATTTTCATGCCTTTTGGGAAAGATAGTGGAATGGTTTCCCATTGCCTTCTTTAGGGTTTGGAATTCAGAGTTTTCCTTCTCTTGGACTGGTTACCACCCAAGTTCAGTCTAACTTATAACTTGGGGAAAATAATTAAACTGTAATGATTCTAAAATCCCTGATGAAATCTGAAAAAATAACCTCTGGCTTAGAAGTTCAGCATATTCTCTACTGCACTATGAATCCAGAACAAATTGCAATAGATATTTGATGAATCTTCCCAACTTTACCACAAGGTCTTAATCATCAAAAAATAACTGAGAATAAATTCACTACCAATAGGACTAGTAGGCTAAACATTAATTAATATTTTTATCTCATTATGAGAAAATTGATAAAAGTAGTACTTTTTCCACAATAGGCTAAGAGGTTGTGGTTTTTAATTTAAAGTTTTTTTCATCTATTTAATATTTCTCTTTATACATCTTATTTGAATGACATTTTATTTTTTTTATGAAAGTTATATAATAAATATATTTCAAAAATGACTTTTTAAATATTCTCACTACATATATATCTCTTGAATGAAACTTTTTTCTCAGACATTCCTTGCAACATTTATTAAATTTGTTTTTCTTTGTTCTTTGTACACAGATTTCTGATTTGAATGAAAGGTTTCAGTCAAAATCTGACTCAGATGATGCCATTATGATAGCAGTCAGCCACAAAGTGGAAGAATGGAAAGTAATGTCTATTAACAGCTTATATCAATTTAAGGAATTCCACATTTTATATTTTACAATGACTTGTTTAAAATTTGAAAAATTCTAAAACATATTAACTTATTTAAAGATAAATTCTTGTTAATTTTCACATAAAATATTTTAACAAATTTGATTCCATAAGTCAATATTAAATGTGTGAAAAAATGAACTTGAAATGAATCGACTGAAAGAAAGAAATCTTTGCCTTCAAAGTTAGAGCAGATGTAATATTTTAGCCATGATTATATCCATTTTGTAGTTAGCAAACTATGATATATCCTAAAATACCTGAGATACAGCTTATTAACAGCCAAGGCAGCTGACAGATAAGTTGCTTTAAGCATCCACTTGATTAAGACAATTTGATACCTTTGATTAGTCATGTTTCTATTTATAAATTTTATTTCAGTGGATATAACTGAAAAAGATTTATATTTAAAATATTGTCTCAATTTAAAAAGTGTCTCATTGGAAGTAATATTGTCTATGTTCTTTTCAAGATTTTAATTAATTCTATTTCTGAAGAAAATTTAAATAGTTGATTGAATCACATGTAAAGTGTTTTTATTTTGTTCAAATCGTAAACATCATTCTTGAATGTTTTTCCTTGCACTGAGCATTTCTTTCATTTCAGACTGCCTTAGCCGAGAAAGATGAAGAAATCCTCACTTATCAAAAAGAGATCATCAAACTCAGAAGGCAGTTAGAAGCTCTCAATATGGATGCTGATCGGGCATCAGTTGCTGCTCTTACAAAGGTTTCTGCTGTTTTGCGATTTATATGGTCAACAAATTCTCAGAAATTTGAACTGTTATCATGTTCAGATTAACTGTTTTCAACACAACTTTCTATTCACATGTTATCACCTTCTATTCCTTATTCTTGTCATTATGTTTATGTCAATGTGGAATGATGAGATTTGGTCCTGAGATTGAATATTATCATTTCAATTAATAAAGTCTGGATGTGATTCAGAAGCAGTAATATGACTGAAGAGTGAACCTACTACAAATAATTATTAATATTGTTTTTATAATCAAATTGTAATAAAAACAATAATGAAATGGTTAATCATAATATCAATTATAAGTAAGTAAGTAAGTTTGATCAAATACTAATGTGAGAATATATTTTGTTCTTCATAAGTCAATGAACTTCTGTCTTTGCAGTTGAGAACTCTCATTTTCTTTGAAACCTGGGTTGGGAAAAAAGAGAATTACAGTTTAAACAAGAGATGAAGATTTTTATTTAAATATCAAATCATGACAATAATCATAACTTACTTATTCATTTATGGCAAGCTGTTTTTATGGAATAACATTTTCCAAATTAGCCATAAAAATAAACACCAGTCAAGGGTAAATTTTTGTGCACCTTGACAGATTTTAATTCAATATTTTCACAATAAATTGATATTAACTAACCAATGTTAATTTTTTTAGTGCATATAAATTTATATGAGAAATATATAAGTTTCACCTTATAAAATTTATCCTTATTAAAAATATTGATAATAACTTGTTTTGTGGGTATTGTTTTATTATGCAAACCAACTACATAAAACAAATTATTATTGATAAATAAATCCAAAAGAAAGAGACCAAAAAGCATATACAGGGTGTGGCATTAATACCTCCCACATAATGGTAAGACATTAACTAGATGAACGCACTATTGCCACTAATGTCTTACCATTATGTGGGGGGTATTAATGCCACACCCTGTATGTCATTAAGGCAATATCCTATATACCTATATAAATTATTTATTATTTTGCATGTCAATATAGGTTCTTTGACATTCTATAACCTTCATCAATCTGTCATCATTCATTTTAACTCTTCTACTATTTCAACTATAACATGACTAGCAGCAGTTTTTATTGCTTCTCAGAGAGCTTGAATATTGTTTTCTGTTCTCATCTACATTTCTTTTAATGATAGACCTCAAGTTTTCTATTGAATTAAAATCTGGAGAGACTGGGAGACATTACATTAATTTGGAGCCTTTGAAATATTTATATTTATAAGAGTGGCAAGGTTGACAATAGTTAACTTTGCAGAATGTGAAAGAGGATTATCTTGCATGAATATAATCTTTAGCTGAAATCTTCTTGGTTATGACGTACTACTCAAAAAAAGACATCTTGTTTAAGCACAATTCTCTGCATTTATGACCTGTAGTGATGAGTGGGTGTTCTTTCAAGGAGGCCCCTTGACTTGAATGCTCATTGGGATTTAAGCTCACTCCAGAGTCATATGATCCATCGTTAAGACACTGGAAAAATTATTGTTTCCTTGTACTGCTCTAGTAAGCACCTGACTCCTGAAATGCCCTATTTCTACAATAACCAGATTGGACTGAAAATGGTGTACTATAGCCATATCTCAGCTAGAACTGCCCAGTTTTTACTTCCCAGTTTTGATAGACTTCAAAAGCATCTATGTGGCCTTGTAGGTGATTAATTCTTTTCTACCCTACAACCCATTTCCCACAGATGAAATGTTGCTTGCCTCTTGCTGCTCTCACTATTTTCAAGGGAAATTTTCTGATGATCTACATTCCTTAATTCCACCAGTTCTAACCATCATTGCTAAGATCTGCCATGCTACAAACATTAGGGTGAACCATCCTCTTTTCTTTCATATTCCATTAGTAAGATGGAAACTTCACTGAAACAACTTCTTCCCACAAATTGCTACTTTGTGTAATTGACTCCCAAGAGGATACTTTCCTGACCACTATAATCTTAGCATCTTCAAATCTAGGGTTAAGCATTATCTTCCCCACATATCCTTATTAACTGTGCCTTTTCATGAAATTTGTAAAGACATTTTTCTTGTTCTTACAAATATTTTCAATTTCTTTTTGAGTGTTCTCTGATCTCTATTCAAATTTTCACAACTTCCAACATTGTATTCCCATCACCCAGTAACTTTACAATATATTATTTCTTTTTGTTATGACCTATGTCAGTCTTTACATATTGGAAATTAAAAAATGAATATCAATAACAATATTACTACATGCATATATTTATTTACAATATGATGAACAAACATTGAGTTGAAATCATAAAATCTCAAAACCATTAAGTATTGTAAATATTTCTAATAAAAGCATGTATTATAAGCTGAAATTCATTTGCTATATTTATCATATAAATATAAATATATCCTGAAAATTTCATCAATATTAATTGGTTAATACCAATTTTATTGTGAAAACATTGATTTATCTGACAGTGAATAGTATACATTTGTATTACATGCAAATATATGCTTAGATATAACCATTTAACATACAATATTTAAATAAGATTATTTAATCTCATTTTTTTACATCAGATTTTTTTCTTATTTGTATCCAGTTCATTTTTTATTTACTATAATCAGTTTGACTTTATATCACATTTCCACTGAAGCTTGATGTTTTATAGAATATTGTCTTCATTGTCAAGGCCACTAAAATGATACCTTTCCATCCAATGTTAATGTTATTCAAGTTGTTTTTTCCTTAAAGGTAATTGAAGAGAAAGATAAACAAATCAATGAATTAACTGAGGAGATGAAAAATTATGCTGATGAAATAGAGGTAAATGCTGCAGTTATTGAAGATCTTGGAAAAAATCCTTCCAAAGGTAAAAGTAGTTATATAATGCTTAAAAAACATTTATATATTATATTTGTATACTATAGAATACTCTGTGTTTTCTGGTTTTTAGGTTTTTTACTCTTTGGAGCATGTAACAATGTGTATAATGCATTTTATCTACTTATTTACAATAAAGAAACAAAGTTGTGTGTAGTACATACATAAACTATATATATATATATATATATATATATATATATACACAAACCAGTATTAAATATAGTATGATGTAAAAAATATCATTCAAGGTTATCTGTAAGAATTGTTACATGAATATCCAAATTTAAAATCAATGCAAAAAATTAATTTTTGGCTTCAACCATTTCCTGGTTGATTTCATGTTTCATAATAAATATTTAGTTTCATGTAATTGTTTACAAGAGGTGAATTTGTACTACAATTGCAAGTATTAAGATAGCTTATCAATTTAGGTTTTTTTAACATTTAGTTCACAATATTATTTCATTGATATATTTCAAATATCAGTTTGAAACTTGGATTGTAACATTTTTAACTCCTTGCCTTACAAAAATCTGTCAGTTGTGCATTCCTTCAATGAATGGAAATTATGATGGTAATATTGATACTTAAAAATGAAATTTGATGATTTAACCTCTGAATTTTATGATTTTTAATCCAGAACATGTTTGAGCAGTTTTGACACTCATCTGACCATTGTGCATTAGAAATTAAGAATGGAATATTATTGACAGAAGGCATCTCTAAAATGTATAAAACCAATGCAGTGAGAATTTTTATTATACAAATGTATTGCAAATAATTTTATATAGAAATATATTGTAAATGGCTTATAGATGTGTATGGAAAATGTAAAAGAAAGGGATTGTCAGTTTTTAGGAATTACACTTTACTGACATAATTGGGCTATTACGTGTGTGTATGTGTACATGTGTGTTATTTTAATATATTTGAGGGATTTTAGCAGTTGTAGAGGATAGGCTTTCTCTTGATTGATTTGCTCCATAGGTAATTATTGAAAACTGGTAAGTTTGTTATATTCCATTGCAATTACATATCTTTCTGATTCATTCTACATGCTGGCTAGATGTGAATGCCACAAAGGCAGAGAACAAAATAAAAAAAGTTGTTTTCTGTGCATGGGCTCTATGCATCACATCCAGTCTAGTAATTGAGCTCTGATCACAAACATTCCCACCAGAAAAAGAGATGCCTTGGAGACTACCAGACCTGCTTAAATCAGGTCTCCGAGAATGACCAAACCAATGGAGGGCCAGCAGGCCACTAGCCATCATACAGGGTGCTGCTGCCAGGGTGCTGCTGCTGTTACTGCTGCCATGGCCTTGTCCCCATGACAACCACAGTTGCAGCCCAGTGGGCCACTGGCACGCAGGGTGCTGCTGCTGTTACCGCCATTATTATCACTGCTGCCTCTCAACATGACTGCTCCTCTTACTGACCGTTGCCACTCCCAAGCTTGACTGGCCACTTTGGCTGTCTGGCTTCAGCATGACAACACCTTGGCAACCCACCACCGTCACCTCGGCATAACCTGTGACTTCTCCCAACTCTTAACACTTACATCCTCTGCATCGGCAAAGTCAGATTCATGACTTCTCCTGACTACTTATGCTCACACCCCCTTATCATCATAGTCAGATTTGTAGCTTCACTAACCAATTTGGGACAGCATCTCAGCAAACCCCGCTATCACCTCGGCTTAACCAGCATTGGCAAAGTCAGATCCGTGACTTATCCTGACTACTCACACTTGCACAATTGTATCATCATAGTCAGATTCGTAGCTTCGCTAACCACTCTGGGGCAACACCTTGCCAACCCAACGCATACACCAACTATAGCCTGTGACCTTAGCCAGCACAAAAAATAGGTCAATTGCTGGCTTTCCTCTTAACCCTGATCACCATCTGGACAATACACCAGAAACAGACATCCCACCTATTTTGCAGTATCTGTACAACACCACACCAGTCTTTTCTCTTAGCCCTGATCACTATCCTGACAACACACCAGAAACAGACATTCCACCTATTTTGCAATATCTGTATAACACCGTGTATATAATAACAATAAACATTCAAATTCCAATCCTTGTTAGTCCATATGCTTAATATAACAACTTCTTAAATAAAGGTGTATTTCATGCTACCTTTCAAATGTTTCATTTGCTTTTGCTAAGCGCATTTTTGTTTTGACTAAGAAGTTATCTAGTGTTTTTTATTTTATTTCCTTGAATTGTAGCTGAAAGAGGACCAGTTCATAATTTACAGAAGAAGATTCAAGAACAACAAGCTTTGCTGCGACATAAAGAACTGGAAGTGAAAGAAGCACAGAAATTATACAAAGAGGTAAAAATCATTTCAGTTCATTGTTTTTAAGTAAGTAGTCAATTAAATTTTATTATGCATTCATTCAAGAGAGCACAATATAGTTTTTCACAATTTTAAAGTTTATGCAAGTAGATTTTATGGTATATTTACCAGTAAAACATCATAAATATTTGCTTATATTGATGTCTATATATAACTCAGTTGCTTCTAAGATGTTCATTAGTAAAGGCATGTTATACTTTGCTTCAAATTAGACCTCTTTCTGATTCATCCTACATCAAAACCTGTTGGCTGGATGTGAATGCTACAAAATCAAAATAAAAATGTTGCTTTCTGAATTGGGACTTTGAGCATCACATCTAGCTCACAAAACAAATCCAAAAAAATAAAAGAAAATTTAATCAGACACAATCACAAATGTTGCTGCTAAAGCAAAATCATAACAATACTGAGTCATGTATCCACCCTGACTGTTTTAAAAGGACCTGCTCAGCAACCAACCTGAAACAAGCTTTAACATAAGGCCAGCACACAACTAATTCTCCCATCTTTGAGATTAGGCTCCTTCATTCACAAGCATTGCCTCACTTGTCTATGAGACATTCTACTTTGATCCAATGTATACATTGGTAATACAGATAATTTTATTTTAATATATTTTGTCAGCTTTTCTTTCTGCCTCACCGGCAATACATTGTTGCTTTTGTTTGTTACTCTTGCAACCATACACAGTATATAACAAGCATGAGAAGTTTTTTGTGAATATTACAGATCAGTGTTTTTTCTCATGTTCAGAAATAATATTTGGATCTTTGTGAATAAAATATGGGTTAAATGGCTAAAGATTTGGAGATTTAAATTAAAAATTACTATTCAAATGTTTTTATCTGGATGACTTAGTTATAGGTTTAAGTTCTGCTGCAAATTATGCTTATGAATTTTATGCTTGTACGAAGGAATATTTTTAGAATAAAATATAATTTATAATAGAGTATTACATCATTTATAAAATCCTCTTTAACAGAATATTATGAGGGTGCTGAAAAGTTATCTGCCTGACCAAGAAGGAATTTAAAAGAAAACAGTCTGATGTTTGGTAGGATTTTGGGAAGCAATTTGGGCCAAGAACTTTTCAGCATCTCCTATACTTAGTCATTGAAAATTGCCTGTCAATTTTAAAATGTGTGTTGATTTTTCTTTTTAGGCTGATAAAGATGCCTGTGATAAAGATAAACAATTGTGTGAAGCACTAGAAAGAATGAGACAGTATGAATCAGTAAGTTACTTTTTCATTTGACATTAATGTCTTCCATATTAATATATTGCAAAATCTTGTATGAATATCTTGTCTTTTTTTAGGGAGAATATGGATTGGCTGATGCAGTGAGTGAAATCAAGGAGCTGAAGAAACAGTTAAAAATCCGAGAAAGGTATTTTTCAGTTTTTCTATTATATGTAATATATTAATTTGCGTTTTGGAAAATGATTTTACTCAATTATAAAACTCTGAGAAACAATCATCATATACTTCTATACATGTTCATATATAAGTGACAGGGGAAAAAGGACAAGAAAAAATGACAAGCTTTTGAATTAGTCAACTTTACTTAGTGAATTGTTACTGGTAATCATTAAAAAGTACAACCAAACTGATCCCAAATTTTAACATTGCATTTTAAATAAAAATATAGTTATTGTGATAAAAAGAGTATATCCTGAGAACATTCACAGAGAATCATTAAAAATTTCTTGAAATAAGAAAAATACTGGAAATATTCTAAAAGATAGCACATAAATTTAAACTTACCAAAATTTAAGTTTTGTTTACCTTTACTTTAATAATAATTCTATTTTTTAGCAAACTAAACCGTAATGCTTGGTGGTAGTGTCACATTAGTTGATTTTTATTATTCAATGAAAGTCTGAAACTTGACTTGAGTAGTGCCAATTAATAATTTACTAAAATATTGCACATAAATCTACATGTGTTTTTCTTGTCACTTAAATATTTCATATTTTCTGATTCTGTGAGATTTTAAAAGAAGTAATTCTCATTTTTTTGATAAACTTTAATTCTGTTTCTTTTATTAATCTTTATTTTTGCCAGGAAAAATGAAGAATTGATTCAGCTTATCAACAAATCTGAAACTGATATGAATGAATTGACAGATGAGAATGAATGTTTGAGAGAACAACTTGGCATGGACCCCAAAAAACCAGTTGATATAAAAGATTTTCAATCAAAGATCAGTGTGAAAAGAGAAGAACAACGAGCTCTAAACATTGTATTACAAAAAGAGGTACGTGAAAAATACATTACAAATAGTTATCCTGTATGGAATAGTCATTTTATTAACAAACTATTTTTTGCAAACTATTTATTCATTTTATTACATTTTAGTTATTTGGGATACATCTAGAATGTTATATAGTATTACAATCTTTTGTTAAGTGTTCATCAATTCTAATGAAATTTCTTATATATATTTATATTTTTTTGTTGTTCAAACTTTTGAAATAATTTTCAGTTAACAATTTTGGTCATGCTAAGTTTTCATTTACAGTCATCTAGAGTTTATTTTTTTCTACTGATTTTATTTTTTATAAGGGCATATGAGGATGCAAATACTTATGTTTTTTTCTTACTTTTTACATATGTGTCTATATGATAATAAGCAATTGTTAAGAATTCCATAGAAATAACTTTGATTTTTTTTTTATCTAATGCAATGTTGTAATCAGAAACTAAAACTAAAATGACTGCTGCATAGTGAGACAACTCAGTTTTTACTAAAATATTTAGTTTACTGTTTGAAGATTATTAGGCAAGAAATTGATTGAAATCTTGTGAAAGAATAAATTATTAAAAAGTAATAATAATTCTATTATAAAATAAAATCTAAAAAAATCAACAATCATTCACTAAGTTATCTTATTGCATTTTTCATTTGGATTCTAGACTGAGATGATTCTGTGGTTTGCTTTCATTTGCAGATTGAACGACTGGAAGAAGAAAGAATTATGCTGAAGCAAAATATTAGAAAACTTGCCCAACAAACTGGACAAAGGTAGATAAAGTGCCTGATTAGCAATTTATTTCAATAATTATGCTAAAAATTGAATGGCTAAAAATATTTGGTATTACAAATGTTTATTTTTGAAGGATAAAAAATCTATTACAAGATTTAGAGTTTAAGGCTATAAAATACATTTTCAGCTTAAACCAGATATTTAAAAAGATTATTTTTCTATGTATATATGATGTAAATAACAAAGTAAAAAAAATTCTCTTACCTCCTCAAATAAGAGGGCATGTATAGCAGATACTCACAAAAAAACAAAAAACAAAACAAATCAAAAACAATTTACTTGGTCTGGATTAAAATGAGAAAATTTTTGTGCTTAAAAATACAGTTATTCTAACCAGGCAGCAGACAAAAAAGGAAAAAAAATATTTGGTGTTTTTTTTCCATTTCACCCCAAACAAGGTGATAAAGCTACTAAGAAGCAAGGGGTTACTGAGAATGAAGGAAACTGATAAAACTTTACTGAGGATTAAGGACAATAAAAAGAAAATGATTCAAAGAGATAGAAGATTATAATTTTTCATGACCTATCTCATCTCACTCTACTTATTTCCTCTCTTCCATACATATACCACATTCATCAATCACATCACTGTGTAAATATTTATTTCCCTATTTTCTCTAAAGAGGGTGTTATAGGTTGTATCTGATGACAACTTCTGTTGACATTATTTCATTTTGATAATTGATACAACTACAGAATGATGATCACAAAAACTGACATTATTTTAAGATTAAATATTTTAAATTATTTTTGGAGTGTTCAATTTCATAAAAAAAAATTGAATCGATTATATTTTTGTTTCATTTTCATAGAGCTGTGGCATTGGGTCTCACTGCTGATGACATGGTCTCAATTCAAAACTACACAGAAAATCTGAAAGTATCTAAAATAAATAGACCAACAACACAAGACACTCCAGATGTGGATGATTTAAAGATTAAGGTGAAAAAGAAAGAAATTGTTGATGAAAATATCTAGATTTTATTTCCAGCCTTTTAAAATTCATGTACATGGCTCAATTTTTTATGCAAAGACTTCTTTGATAATTGTGTTCTTCTATTTCTTATTTGTATCTTCTAAAATCCAGAAAGTTTGTGCCCAGGTATCCCAATAACTTTTCTCTTAAGATTACATTTAAATATAAATTTGTCACCATATTAATGTTCTTTTTGTATTGCAAATGAATGATGTCATGTTATTATATCATAGGAGGTTATCTACCTAAGAATTTTATATTTGAAAAAAAAAGTTATACTAAAAGGAGTTGCAAATTATTTTGGAGCATTTATATTTGGCAAACTTTTTAATAGTTAACTCAGGAATGAAATTGATATTATTGTGGAGATAATGGTTATTTTAAAATTCAGACAAATGGAATTGTATATAATAATATAATCAAAAATATTGATCATAAATTTTAAATATAATGAAAGAACAATTTTGTTCTCATATTAAACAAGTTTAGAAACAAGTAATCAGCAACAAAAGTGAATGAGCAATGAATAAAAAAAAATGTTTTTGAGCTTTACCAATTCAAAAGAGAATAATTCTTAACATTGCCTGAGCCTGATATATGTTGATATGTCAAAAGATCATATATATGTATATAAACATTTTTTATGACCAAAACACTTAGCAAAATTCATGCATACAGAAGAAATGATGATTTGCTATTTATTTACACTTTTACAGAAATAAACAGAATCTATGCAGTTATTTCCCATAAATATCAAATTCTTCTTAAAACTTTGCACAAATTTAATTTTCTTTGCATTTTTCTCAACATCATATTCTACATCCATTCCTTTTATTGCTGTTTTGTCTTCAAATATAGAATATAGAACTCAACAACAATTTAACAACTAACCTCCAGCAGCTAAAAAAACTTTCCAAAGAAAAGGATAAGCTACAAACCCGTAATGAACAATTAGAAGAAGAAAACAAAAGTTTTCAGGATGCTTTGAAAGAGATTCATACTGACTTGAAAAAGCGTGGTTCTGCGGGTAAGCTTTTCTCTTCTGTTCTCTTTGAAATCATAATAAACATTAAAGGTTTGTTGATTCTGGGTTATACACAGACTTAAGTGAGTTTCAAACATCTCATTAAATGAGAATAAATACAAAAAAAGCAATATAGATATTGACTGTTGCTTAATTTTTCTGGTAATGTCTTTGGAAAAGGCATAAACCTAAAATTTTAGTTCTGTTTAAATTCTGGCATTGGATGTTCATTTTCACACAAATGCTGTTGAGTAAAGAAGGTCTTCATCTCTTTTAAGCTAGAAGTTAAATAGTAGGTCAGTCTATGAAAAGGACAACTCTGAATTCAAAACTTACTTGCTATGGAAACCACAGCAGCGACACAACTGACTAACCTTTTCATCAGTTATCTTAAAACTTGTTGGTGACAAATGATTAAACATGACAAGTAAGATTGAGTAATCACTTTTTCTTTAACTCTAAAAGATATAATAAGAGTGTATATGTATATATAATTGAGAAAAGTTTGTCTGTTCCTCTTACATTTAGAGCTGTCAGATTTAGTATGGATATTTATTGGACCTAGAACAGGGATTATTGGGGTGTGGGGAATTTCAGGGTTTCAGGAGGGTAGAGAAAATCTTTTATTTTTTCTTGGCTTTATTTACAGAATTTGGAGTGTAAAAAACAATCAACTCCTTTATAAAAATAATCCATGTATATGTCAGTCAGTTATGATACATGCTTGGGTGATCATGCCTCTTTTGATTCATGAATGAAGAAGGCAAAATATTTTCTCACAGTAGGTTGCTGTTTCTTTCTGCAATAAACTGGTTGCCAACCAAGGCTATAGGACCCAATCTGTCTTCTATTCAACCCATAGCTGGGGGGAGTAGAGATGGATTCATGCCTTTCCCATGAGTATTTGTGAATAAGTAAGTGTGACAAGTCCGGCTAGAACTTGAACTCAACTCTCCGATTTCTCATTTTGGGCTGTTGCACTACAGTGTATATGTATATGTACTAATATGGAAAAGAATGAAAATTCTTAATAATATATGCATATTATTTGGAATGCACCTTTTGAGTCAGTCTTGAAAAGGGGGGAATGACATTCTGACATATGGTGAAAAGTGTAAGTTGGGCAAAAAAGGTTGACAACCACTGACTTAGAAGGTTTTAATGTTAAAAACTATTTGCTTCTTATGGGTATGTAGTGAGGTACTCTAACACTTTTCTGTTATATGGATTTATTTTAGAGTAACAGTTACTCTTTGTAACCATTTGGTGTTAGGCTATAATTTCTTTTTTATTATTGATATTTGAACAAGAAAAATATTTGTGTTTTGAAAAATCACTTTCAAAGAACAGACTAAAGAATGCTAATCTACAAAAATTATTTCCAAAAGATTTTCCCATATTTTCTAATAGTGGAACAATTTACTTAAATAGCGATGCTTATTCTATAGAACTGAGACTATTAATAAATCCCAAGGCTGAACATTATTAAACAGAATGTTATATAACAAAAGGTATAATGATTATGGAAATAGCTAGATATATTGTATTCCTATTCCTTATATTGATGTGTGATACTAAGTTGTCAGCCCGTGGTCAACTTCCAGTCACGGCGTGAAGCTGTAAGGTTTCTTCTACCGGCGTTTTGGGGTTGACTCTTTGTTGCTGCCACCAGCCTGTGTCCCGGTCGTTTGGTAGTTGTTGCTACTCAGCGAAATCCCCTGGTCAGGATACCAATATGAGACACTCAGCTGTCCAGGGTTGAATCCACTGGTCAAGGCACTAATATGTGGCACCAGGTTCGAATTCTGGTCGTCGATGTTAATGGCTTCACCATCTGTACTGGTTCAATGCCAGCTCTATTGTTCCCAGCTCACTTGCAATGTCTGGTTACTGGAGTAACTGTTTCGATCTCAAGTCTAACCTACCAACATTGTGACTTTGATCTTAGGTAGATGAGATCAATCAGGCGTCGGGCCGTAGAGCAAGCTGAGTCCAGATTGAAGGTGGCACCATACAAGTGCAAAGAAAAAATAAATAAAAGAAAAACCCAAGAGGTTCAAATATGTTAGGAAATAACAATTCAACTTTATTCTTCCATTATATACAGGAGTGTATTTTTCTCCTGGCCCATTTCATACGAAATGTGACACTTCTATGTTCCAAGCAAGTATATATCGTAAGTCAACTAATTTAGTTTTTAAGTGCTGGCTTAACTTCGTTTGTCAGTATAACTTGCTCTTGGTAGAATTGGTGAAGTTGGAGGTCGTGGAATCTCTCGGTCAGCTTCTGCGAGGCAACACCCTGGTTCCCCCTACTTGAACTGTCTGTGACTCTGTCTGGAGCTGAACTGCGACTCTACTCAACTGCTGAATGACCCATCGTTGTTCGTTTATATGGGTACCGACCAAAACCCAGTGTGTGGGCCCGACACAGCCTGGGCTTCTCGATAATCTCTATTTTTAACAAGAAATCTCTTTGTTGTCAGGACAGGAAAGTTGATTATTTCCCATTTTTGGAAAATTAACCATTTCCCATTTCCGGGGGTGGCGGTCTCCAGTCTCCATCGTTTGTGAGGGAAGGTCGGAGGAGAGCTATCCTCCTAGACCCTTTCTCTCTCACATTGATATCTCATACCAATCCCTTCAGTAAGCATTAACATCTTCTCTTCCTTTCTCATCCATTCACCTCCGCCTATCACCATGCTAGCATACGACCAATGATCTCTCAGCAGTGTTGGTGTAGCTAAGCTGGCCTCCTTAAAATTATAATCTAGAATTTTTGTTTACAAAATTCTCCTTTCCCATCGGCCAAAAGATTTTTACAATTTCCACATTGCCAATTAAATTTTTATCACATCTTCTCTTTTTACTGGATCACCCAAAAGTCACTTAGCCAGCACTCTTACCGTCTCATTAATCACTGTCAAAGTTTGCCATCTGGTCTTTTACGTTAAGTCAGCTTTATAATGGAAACCTTGACTTGTTAAGAAATTAAATTCTTTTATCTCACCAAATCTCAATTCTCCACTCTAATTTCTGGGAATTGCCAAAAGTTTACAATTGCCACATTGCTATTTGATGTCTTAGCATCTGTTGGCAAAGTAAATGATAACAATTCTCTCACCTCACAGCTGTTTGAGGTTTCATATAGCCCCAATGAACTTAAATAAAGTCAATTCAGGTTTCCTATGGTAAAAATGTTCTTTCCCAAGTGAAAATCATCACAAAAATGGCAAAAGTCATTTTGTCACAGCTTATTTTCTCTCAAAAATGGATTTTCATACTTTTTTATAGGGGTAAAATATTGAAAATGACTGTTTTATCATCATCTAAACTAATATCAAGGAAACTTTTGATCTGAACCCCATGAAACTAGGTATTTTCTGAAAGCAAAGGATATATTCTTTCATTTAAAAGTAAAATTAGCTGGTGTAAATGACTCAAATTTTTTTTCAGTGGGTAAAATGTGAAAAAAAATAGTGAAAATTTTGCATTTTTTTTTTGTTCTAAACAAATATTTCCCCATTAATGGGAAATTAACCATTTTTTTTTTTTTAAATCAGAAAGCCTAAATCATAATCAAACTATTTCAGGCATAAAATTGAGAGTTTTGAGGAAATCAACATTCCTAGGGGTTCAAAATGCGACAAAAATCCATTGTTAATTTTCAATTATATGACTGCCAAGGGTAAAAAAAAATTGACACCCAGCCATGGAAATCTTTAGTAAAAAGGCAAGAGATTTATCTGCAATTCCTAACCACCAGAAACCAAAAGTTTTTTTTTTTTCCAAAAAATAGCAGTGATAAGGAAAATTAAACCTAATTGACTTTGACGTCTAGGTCAAAGGTCAGCCAGCCAGCCAGCCAGCCAGCCAGCCAGCCAGTAATAAACGGCAAACCTTAGAACAAGTTGTAATAAAACTCACCACTCCCAGATAAATGCAAAGAGTGAAAAAAAAAGGGTTCACCATTACTAGGGCTTGATGTAACCTACGTTTGAACAATGGCTTGATGAGTTTTGTTTTGTTTTTAACACCCCATGACCCGGGTGATGACAACAACACTTAGCAGACGACAGTGTTTTTTTTGTCGCATATCTTTCATATTTCCCATTGCCGGGCCATTTAGCTGTTCCTTTTATTCAATGATGTTCATGCCAAATGAAAGAGAAAGGAATGAATTTTGAATGATGTTATTTTGAAGCGAAAATAAATATTTTTTCATTAAAAAAAGGGGATTTTTCTCAGAAAATTGGGCATAATATCTTAATGTTAACCGCCAAGTGACATTTTCCACAGCCAAATCGAAGATTAATTACCAGTGAATAATTCCATGTGCAAACAATAGCCGTCTGGATCCTATAAAGTCGCCCTAAAAGGTCCAGAAGTTTACTAATTGATCGAAAACCTGTTGCACATAATTGTATTTTTCACGGTCAGTTTCCATTATTTCATCTTGATATTATCATTTTCGGACAGCCAAGTCATCAAGGATTCAGGAAAACAGTTTGGCATAGGTTTTCTTTAAGAATTTTACATTCTATGAGGTGTTTAAAATGATACTGACGAATGAGATTTTTTTGCCGAATGTTTCGTTTACGCGCCATGTTGGATTTTCCTATATGACAAAAACAAGGGTTTTAAACAGCCGTGACCTATATCGAGACAATGCCAAAATTTTATAATTGCCACATTGCTTCTCTTTGCCTGTATCCAAGAAAAATAAAAATAAATGATATCTTGGAAAGATAATTAACATTGATTCTCCCTGCCTGTATCGGCATTCTGATTTAACAGAACCTATTAAAGTTGTAAAAATTTATTGATTTATTAATTGTAACTTTTGTTTTCTCAGATTCAGAAAAGGCAATTATTGAGTGCCCATCTTTGGAGAAAATGATTGCTGTAAGTGACCCTACAGATCAACCTTTTCATTTACTCTAAATACTTTTTGTTAGCTTATATAGAGTAAGTAACTTTTTATGAAGTCTTAAGCTATTCCTTCCTCTGAGTTAAATAGAAAAATAAGTGAAGGTATATAAATGTTTTACTTTAAATGAAGATTATACGTGATTTTTTTAAGATTGCAAGTAAACAAAAATATAATTTTATGGCTTAGACATTCTGTATATTGGTTTTGTATTTATTTATTTTTTAAAGTGCTAAACTTCAGCATGTACAACCTAGAATTTGTCATTTAAATGATTGATTTTACCTTGAACGCTGAAAGCATCTATTGGAGCCTAACTTTCTGTTGATGTAACCATGCCAATATGCCTTTGAATATGAATATATATATATATATATATATATATATATATATATATATATAATATCCACATACAAGCCAGTTTCACTGTATCACAGCTCATCAGCATGGCTAGACATCTGATTGCTTCAAGCTGTGATTGAAACCTGACTGATTTGACATCAGTCAGAGATCCTACCCTAAGCTATTGGTGCATGGCAGAGAAAGGGAAATTTTACATATTATATATGAATGTATACAAACACCATATATATATATATATATATATATATATATATATATATATATATATAAAAAGTAATGGATTTTTTATTTATTGATCCAACAGATTTTATCACTTAAATGTTATTTCTAGTAGATACCCATATTTGAACAGATGCATCGTTTATTTATTAAACAGTATACCAAATATACTTGTACAACCCCCAAATTTTCACTTATAAAAATTGATTTTATCATGCAAGTTCCTTTTTTGAGAGACCAAATTACATTAGACTAACCTCTTTTCCTCTATCTCTTTATTTCATCTAGTTAAATAAGTGAAAGAGAATGATAAAAGTATCATTAATAATGTTATACTTGTTGCGTAAATCTGTACAGCCATAAAAACTGAACAAGAAACAGTTAAACATCTTAAAAACGTAAACAACGGAAAAGTTGCATATTCACTATGTTTGTATTTTATAATACGATACTAATATGTGAATATTCCATGCATTATTATTGAATACAGTTAAGTAAAACATCAGTTTTATCAAAATCTTGTTTATTTTAAATACAGCTGTACTTTTTGACTACAGTAAATGTATATATAACTTGATCAACAGCGTATCCAGGGCCAGCAGTACATACGCTAATTTTATATCTCGTGTAACACCCTTAAAATTAGCTTATATTTATTTTCATCTACTGGACTGAATATTAGAAAAATCTTATTAGATGTACCCTCTGGCAGGGGAAACTGATATTCAAATTCTTTTCTGTAGTTATCTCCCTTAGGTTTGTATCTCAGTATTAAGTTTTCTCAGGTTTTAAGAGATGTAGTGAACTAAACACAAAGACAAAGGTACTTTGTCGTACCTTGATGTTACAAGAACATTTTTTTCGTTCAGACGTTCCTGACCATAGACCTTAAACATCAGGTACTTGAAGTTGCAGGTGATCTCAATCAATCTATTTCTGTTAGTTATGATTAAATTTAGGCGTATAAAGGGAGACAATTCTACCATCAAAAAAATAAACATCCCGAAAATTTTGTCTGTGAATTTATCGATATTTACCAAAAAAGCTATAGTACGACACAAGGCCTTGTTTGTAGGTCACCTATTAAGATTATGCAATTATGTTGCCAATTTAATGTCCTCTCACAAGACTCTGGCTACCAGTATTCTATTTTTTTTAGTTGCAGCATGTATATTTAAGTGATGACCTTATATTGGTTCCTGAAAAATTAATTTCAGTTGAGCTCTCTGGGGAGGAGGTGTGGATTTGTAAACAGTGACTATTATAACTAATATAGTGAGACTCTTTGCAAAAAGCGAATTGAGTCACTGTCAGTCACAGTGTGTGTTTCTAAAAATAAATACGCTAAAATTCACCTTCATCCCTGCCGTGCGCCAACGGCTTAGTGGTAGAATCTCTGACTGACACCAATTCAGTCAGGTTTCAATCCTAGCTAGAGGCAACTGGATGTCTAGCCACATTGATGAGCTGTGAAACAGTGAAACAGTCTGTCTGTGGATGACCTTATATATATATATAAAATTCCTGTTGCTTATTAAGGGATTACTTTTAGTTTTGTGAATACTTTTAAAATGACTCAAAAATTATCTCAACATTGAAAACATTTTCTCTGTCAGTATTAATTTTTGTTAATATCCTTAGTAGAAAATGATTTCTTTGTCAGTGAAGAAACCAACAGAAGATTGAAGATAATGCAAACAGTTAAATAATACAATTTGCTATTTATTAACTTCTATGATGAAATAATTAAATGATCTTTGCCATCTTTACTTGATATATCCAAGTTCATGTTTATGTCACAAATAATCTATAATTGAAAGAAAAAGAAGAAATTGTTATTTTTTGGAAAAAATCTATATGATTGCTAAATCTGAAACAATATATATTTTCAGCAATATTTTGAGATAGTTTTTACTTCCATGTGTCTACATCAATTATCAGTACGTTTATTTAATTAATAATGGTATATGTTCTTTTTATTTTCTCCAGGTTTTAGATGTTAGAAATGCAGCTAGCAATTCTGATATGTCTTCCTATACTAAAGGTAAAGTAGATGCTTTGCTTGACCAAAAGGAGGAACTCAAAAAGGCCTTAAATATTGCCAGACAGGAAGCAAATTTTGCAAAACTTGAGAGTGAAAAGGCTGTTGAAAAAGTAAGATGAAAATATTTAATAGTCTATTTTTTTTTAAATATTTAATGTTGACTTCTTTCCAAATTACTAGCTAGTCTGTTAAAATAAACGATTTTTTTTAATTAAAAATATCAGCCCAATTTTCTCATTTGAAAACAAAATTGATTTCAAAAGGATGATTATCAGTTATGGTAGCATAACAATAGAATAAAGGTTAAAAAAATAAGAGAGCCTTCAAATTGTTTTAATCAGCTGATATGAAGGAAACTTAACTAATGACTCATTATACCATGAATAGTTATTTTTGTATTTTTTTTTAGGAAATAAATAATTTCCTTTTATACTCATTTTTATTTACTTATATATATATATATATATATATATATATATATATATATAATTATTTTTATAAAAAAAAAAAAATTATAACATAAGTATGTTATAAAATCACTACAAAAATAGCCATTTTGTTTCAACACACTCTGTGTCTTATCAAGTCTATATCTGCTCTACTTTGTATTGAGCACTCTTTTAAGAATAGTAATTGTTGGTTATTGGAATTCATTCCGTATATACCAATTACATACTTGGATATATATATATATATATATATATATATATATTTATATGTGTGTGTGTGTGTGTGTGTGTATAAGCAATTTATTCCAAACAAGGTGATAATGCCACTAAGACGCAAGAGGCTATTGGGAGTGAAAGAGAATGAAAAACTTTAGAAGGAACCAGAAACCTAATCCTAAACATGAAACATGGGATAAACCTGCATTCTTATTCAAATGACCAGGGAGAAGGGTGGAAGGATAAACCTATTTACTTCCATTGTGGAAAAAAAATAAAAATTAGAAAATAAATAGTAAATAAAATTTCAGAGTTTAGTTGGAGATGCTAGAAGTATAGAGTTGAAGCAAACTTTAGAAGGAACTAGAAACCAGAAACCTAATGCTAAACAGGTAACGAGGGATAAACTCCTACTCTTGTTCAAAAGACCAGGGAGAAGTGTAAACCTGATGATAGGCAATATATATATTTTTACTAAAGTTCATCAAATGGAAGTCTCTAGAGCTACTCATAGTAAAAGGTTACAGAATGTCGTGTGGTATGAATGTAAGAGGAGGTAGTAGTAGTGAAAATTATGAGGATGAGGAGGATAGACAGTGTGATGCATTAGTAAATACAGAGTTAATTCCCTTGTAACTATTTATAGAGTATAGATCACATTTCATCAGACTGTAGAGCCAGCAGTCAGAGTTAGTTCCTCATAGGTTGCTACAGATAAGCACACATTACCTTTTGTCTCATCATTCACTTTTACTGTTGATCTGCATGACACATCACTAACATGATATATAACAGATTGGGATTGATCCTTGACTTGAAGAGGTTAAAAATGTAAATGTAGTGTTCAATGGAACCTCTACATGTAAGTCTGTTTCACAATGTAGCAGTTTTTGGGAAAAGCTGTCTGAGTAGAACTTCCTTCTTACAATTGAAATACAGTGGAAATCTGAAAAGTGAGACTTGAGTAGTTCCAGCTCAGATATGACAGCAAAACTCCATTTTTGGTATAATCTGAGACTTGTAAAGATAAAACATGGCAGATGGAGTCAGTTACTTTCTGCAGTGGTAGAATGAGCCAAACATTTTACCAGTATTTTTAGCAATGGGTCATAAGCATGAGTTCCACTTGAGGTCTGGATGTTTGATGTTCAAGGCATGGATAGAACTGCTTATCATTACTGGAGAAAACTTGGAGTCTGATTGGTGATGAGGAAATGATACTAGCTTGGATTTTGAAGTATTGAAAGTTACGACCAATTTTTCCCCATTGAACTGTTAGAGCTAAGTCAGAGGAGAGCTCAACTGCAAGCCTCTGAACATCTTGATTTTTGGAGATGCTTCCACTTCCTACATATATGTGTATGTTAATATGTTCCACTAAACCAAAAAGTATTTCTGTTTGTCACTCTTTAATGTTGTAAACACTATTGTATTAATGTACTATAAATTGAGTTTTCGGATATATACTATTGTTACTTTATGAATAAACAATATAATTTGTACTCTTCTGGACATAAAGCAAGTAGGTGTCATGTATATTTCAAATGTAGAGATGATGTTTTGTAAGTTTAATATATGAGGGGCAGCTCATAGTTCAACCAAGAAGAATGACCTTGAGCCATGAACATTTCAACATAGATTTCTGTAACTCTTCCAAAAAAGCTTTTAACATTTATTCATTGAAATATTGATTTTGGCAAGTGGATCAAACTGAGAACTTTTTATTACCTCGTTGGAAATAGAAATTCAGGATCACAGAGAAGGTTGCATAAAACTTTGGTGAAAATCTAGCTGCTATAGCTTTGAATTTTGAAACAGGCACCATAGGTGTTTATCTATTAGGATTATAATGGAAATTTATGTTAGCTTTTTGGATACAGTATGTTTTTAATTTCCTTTAACCACTAATGAATAATATTTATCTCAAATTAACATTTAAGTATATTTATTCATAGTAAAATAATTTTGGTTTATATTTAAATCCTGCTGATTATAGATATATCTATGAGCAATTCATTGAGCCATTATTATCATATATTGATCAGTTATTGTTGTTTTTATGGATTTCCAGATGAAAAAGTTGGAACACGATATATTGTACCTTCAACAAAAAGGAAAGCAAGCTGGAATATTTCAACCTTTAGTTCTCCCAGAAGGCTTACCTGCCAGTAGTGCTGAGGTGATTGCAAATCTCAATGAACATCTCATTGTTACTTTAGAGGTAATTACATTATTCCTCTTTAAAATTGTCAATGTTATAATAGCAACTGATATTTAATGGCAATAATCTTCAAGCAGTCTATTCAGAAGACTTAATTTTTAAATAATTGCACAGATAAAATATTTAGTCAATGTTGTAACTTGAAAGAATTTTTTTTTACTCACAGTATATTTTCTTTACAATATTTGGCATTTTTGAATGCTTATTCATATTGTAATGAACAGATAAAAATATTTCTTAAGTTTGATAAAGAACACTAATTTGGTAAAAACATCTTGAGTTTGATTTTTATTGTAAACTTTTACTTTGGTTTGAATAATTATTTATCTCTATCAAAGCACTAAATGATATGAAAAATATCACTGGTCTTACTTGGTGAAAATTAACCAAATTTGAAGGCAAATTTTAGTAAAATAGTCTTGTATATTTTCTCATATTCCAGTTTACCTTTAAAATTTCTTTTAGAATTGAATGGTGCAAGATAGAAGCAAATTATGATTTTATAAAGAAAATATCTTTTTAATGGTTTAAGTGGAAGCTGTCTCTTATGTTCTCTTTTTAATTGATACCAATGAAATTTCAGGATTTGTTTCTAAATGAGGAGCAATTGCAGAAAACAGAAACTTCTCTGGAGAGTTACCGGTGTAAGATGGCTGTAATCAAACATCAGCAAGGTTTATTGTATTCAGATTATCTTAATGAAAAAAAGGTAAGAGTTTTTTGAATTACAAATATTTTGGTACATCTCTGTATTCTGGATAAAATATAAAAATAAATTTAAAATATATATCTATCTCTCATTTCAATGTTATTGTTTTCTTAAAAGTGTAAAATTGAAAGTTAAAGACATTTTATTTTCCTATTTTTCACCTATAGGAACATGAAAATGACATAATCAAGTTAAGAGAAAATATTAGAAAATTAGAAGAACTTCGGGAACAGGATGAAATCCAGTTAAAAGAGTTTGATGTAAGCTACACAAACTTATATTTTTGTGGTTGTATGTAAATTATTTAAATAAGCCACTGAAGAATCTTCTTGTTTCTTTATAGCGTTGCCTTAATACATTGTCTCAAGATGATGTGGAAGTTCACAGACGATTAGCTGAGCAGACCCGAAAGATTACAGTTTTACAAATAAATGAAAAAGCTTTGATGAGAAGGTATAATACACTGATAGAAGTGGAAGGGACATTGAGAAAAGTGAGTTCCAAATGAAAATATTTTTTTAATCATATATATATATATATATATATATATATATATATATATATATATATAATGAGATTATAATAAAAACATTTAAAAATGTTTTATTACAATCTCTTATAATAAAAATATAATAATATATTATTCTGCTTTGTAGTGAGCACTTTTTTTTAAAGGTAAATGCTATGAACAGTGTATTTTTACTCCAACTGTTCTTTCTCTCATTTGGATATATAATAAATAATATGTAATATAAAGCTGACAAAATCAGAAAATTAATACATAGAGAATTTAAAAGTTTTAACCTTAAAGTTAAGATCAGCTCTAATTTAAAAAAAAGTAGATTTCCTTGATGTTACATTAGACCTAGTTAATATTGTATTCCAATCCTACTTGAAAACAAATGACAATCCAATATACATCCACCTGAATTTTAACCACCCTCCATCTGTAATCAAACACATACACTCTTCTATAGAATATAGGATTAGCAATAACTCTTCCAGTGAAGATGTCTTTTACAAGCATAGTAAAGTTTACAACACTGCCTTAAAAAATAGTGGCTATAAGTGCACTGACATCAAATATATAAAACATAACAACAGTGATCATAGGAATAAGAATAGAAACAGGAAAATCATTTGGTACACACCTCCATTTAACCAAAGGGTTAGTAATAAGTTAGAGCAGAAGTTCTTCCATTTAATTGATAAACACTTCACCAGAAATAATCCACTCAGTAAAATGTTTAACAGAAATACTCTAAAACTAAGCTATAGCTGTACAGATAATCTTAAAAAAAAATTATTAAAAAACATAATAAAATTTTAAACCGATACAAAAATCTGAGCATCATATACCAATAATATCAATAAATGTAATTGTAGAAATTTTAATGAATTCCCATTGCAAAACTGATGTCAAATTCTCTTATACCTAAGCACTATTTCTACTATAGAAAATCCAACAGTTAAAAAATTTTATATTGGGAGTACCAAAAATTCTTTTAAAACTAGGTGGTATCAATATGTATTATTAATTTCACCAATAATGCTTACAAAAATATGATGTTCCTTTCTAAATATTTTTGGAACTTAAAAGAAGTTAACAAAACCCTTACAGTAAAATGGAAAATGCTAAAACAAAGCTAGAACCTGTAAATCTTTAAATGAACCTTGTTTCTTATGCTTACATGAAAAATTAGAAATTATCCGATTTGCTGACAAAAAAATCTCTCCTAAACCAAAGATGTAAATTAACTGTTAATTGCCAACACAGTTTATCTTTTACCTTACAATATAGTTAAATTTTTATAAAATTAGGTAGTACTATTTTTTATGGCCCTGATTTATAAGTAATTAACAGTCCACCATCTACGAGTAATTATCTTATTTTGTTTATTCAGATTTAGAATTGCTATGTATTGCTGCTCAGTTAGTATTATTTATATCTTATATAAATGTTAATTTTATCTACAGCTTCATGAATCTAAAATTAAAAAAAATTTTTTTTTCTGTTGTGATTTACTTTAAGTCTGATTATCCTCCTTCCTCTCCCCTCAGCATCCTTTGAAAAATTGAACATGTCATATTTATCTACAATCACAATACATTTGTTGTTTACATATTTTCCGTAATTGTTAATGATAAGCTGTCTACGTTCCAGTTTATCATGTCATGAAAAAATAACTCCCCCACCTCCACCCTCTAAGCTTAATTTTCTATTTAGTGTAGATCTGACATTTAATTGGTTGATCATGACAAACCCACAAGTCTATTTTTATTTCAGACCTTGTGTTTTTTCACCATCACCCTTTCACTTTCAGAAAAGAGGCAACACTTTACTTTTGAAATTTTCTTAAAAATCATTTAACCAACAGTTACTTACCATCACCTGAAGAGGCAAAAAGTTACCAAAACACGAAAGCTATTGTGTAGTAATTTCAACATGTTTTTGTTCTAATATCTTATAATAATAATAATATATTACTGTACTTTTATTGTGCACACTTTAAAAGTAAATTCTATGAATAGCAGAATTTTACTTCATCTGTTCTTTCTCTCGCGTAGTCATGTGTGATGTCATGGGCCGCAGTGCAAATTTGCTTCCAGCATCTTGTATGCATGATTTTGTCATTGCTTGGAAATCTTCCATGCAAACAAAACAGGATATCATTGTTGCTATGTCCGTGTATTGTTTAATTTATTGTAATGTAATTGCCATCTTTGATGATGGCTTATGTAAACTGAAAGTTTAGATAGGATTAAAAAACATGTATCAATACGGTGATTTTCTTTCGTCTTTCAATGATGTCATTAAGCTTATCAGATGATATGAAAGGATTTTGCTTAAAATAAATAGGCAAAACTTGTCTATATTATTTAATGAAATATGCATTTATATATATATATATATGCAATATATATATATATATATATATATATATACAATTATTAAGTTATAAGTGTTAAAATTGATGTAAAGATGTATCATAACAATTTACAAAATGAGCTTTCCTTATTTGCCTTAAAGCTTTTTAAGATATCAGTTGGTGATAGATTTATGTAAAGACATTTAGAAAGTATTACATTGTTTGAAAAAGAGAGTAGTGGTTTATGGTGACTATCAATAATACATATAGTTTGTCAGGATTTCAATATTAAAGTTTGAGTAAGATATTTTTAATAACTTGTAATAAATATGTTTTAGTTTTTTTACTATCTAAGCTTTTGTCTTTATTTTTTTAGGAAATTTCCAAATTGAAACATGAAAGTATTGCAATGGAGAAAGCAGTTGCTGAGAGGATTGGTTATTTACAACGTTTTAAGGTTTGTGAATATTTGTTGATATAGCTACTGTATTGCTTCATTTGTCTACATTATATAAGATAGTAATGTTGATATTATTGATTCTATATTTACAAAATCAAGCACAGGATTGTAGGCTTATCTCAACTTTAGATATTCACTTTAGTTGAGATGTGCCTTCCACTCTGTAAAGAAATTACTACAAAAATGTTTTTCTTTCAAACTTATTAATATGCATGCATGTTCACAGAGATAAATATATATATACTGACATGTCAGAAGTCATGGAATAACAATATATAATGGTAATAGTAGATCATGCCACCATACTTTGACATTATGGAGATACCAAAACTTATATCATTTGTCCTTTGGCATTTGATGAGTCACTGTCAACACCATCTAGCTTGCACATGGCAAGCTGATGTGAATTATTGGAATTCAAATAGGGCATGATAACCCTAACCATTTCTGAAATTGTAGGGGCATTTGACATCCCTTCATTTATGGTATCTCATGTATACCAAGAATAATTTATGGAAGACATTACCATCTACAATAGACAGTGCAGTTACTGACTACAGCTTTGTCGCTATTTACATCTGTTCATGGACTCCATGTACCCAAAAATGATGAGTTTTTCCACCAGAGTAATGCACAGTTTCATTGAACCTAGGTTGCTTAGAATTGCCTTGCGGTGCAATCTGGGAACTTCTGGTGAATGGCATGGTCACCATACTTACCTAATATGAGCCCAATCAAGCATTTATGGGATATAGTGTAGAGTCCTATTTGTATGCATGATTCTGTACCTACAAATATTATGTATACAGCTATCAAGATGGCATTACTCAATATATTTCAAGAAGTCTTCATGCAAGTTAATTTACTTTCTGACAGAAAATGTGTCTCTATGAGAGTGAGTCTAAGCTTTAGAAATTGTCATTCTTACTGGAAAAAAAGTATCATTTTCATTCATTTGAATATATTATTTTATGTAACAATAAGAATATGTAAATGAAAAGTTGTTATTTAATTATGATAAATCAATTGGAAGACAAGTTACTTTGCCATGAACAAATAATATTTTTTCCTTTCACTTTGAAAAATCATATGTTGCTTTTAATGTTTACCAGGACACAGCTATGTTCCAAATAAGTGCCTTACAGAAAGCCCTAGAAGAGTCTGTACATTCAGTAGATTTGGAGAGAGCCAATAAAGAATATCAGAATCTCACAGAAAAATACAGAGATCTCCTTGAGAAAGAAAATGTATTTGTATCGAAATCAGAGGCAGTATCAAATCTTGAGGTAACTTATTCTTCTTATTTTTTTTCTAAAAAAATTCATAATAACCCATTAATATTTGATAGTCATGTAGCTGCTTCCTAAGAGCATTATCTGCTGAAAATAAATTGTCTTTAGAATGTGAAATGATTGTTTGAAATGTCTAGCTAATCAACAAATAATTAATGATTAATATTAAAAGCAAACTAAAAGTTACTTGTTTTCACTTATATTAATTTATAATAATAGTAATAATTCTAGTAAGTACTTTAAAGTTGGATGAAAAATTAAGTTTTAAAAGGAAAAAACATTAATTTTTGTTGTTTCTTACTTCCATGAATCTGATCTATTTAGACAAAATCATGTTTTGTGAATTTTGGTGTAAATGATACAAAATGTTTTCTTCTTAATACATAATATTCAGAAATTGAAGTCAAATAGAATTTGACTTAAATTATTATATTCATGACTTTATGTAAAAATAAAGGGAAATCTATTCCTTAAAATCAATGTGGCTCCTGAAATAATTCCCTGATGAAATTCAAAAAGAGTAAATCAAATGGATTTTTTTCGTCTTAACCTTAATATTAAAATAAATACTTAATTTCTTTGCTACATTTTAGATACAATTTAATTGCAATCTCATTCATATTTCACAATTCATTTAGAAGGCTTGTACCAAAGTTTAGTGAGTTTTTGTTTTGTTTTGATTCAGGTTTTTTTTTGTTGCTTAAATCTGATCAATAAATATATTGAAAGTGGACATTATTTACATTATTCGGACTATTGTCCTCATCTTTGTCGCCATATTTATTACAACGTTTTGGCCATTGTACGCTCCGGCCTTCTTCAGGTGGTTGGAATGTCAAACTGAACCCTTTATTTCACTCATTGGCCATGTTTTGATGGATGTCAGTTATCAGTTATCTCCTGTTAATTTTCCCTCTGAAAGTTCTCCACTGCCTTAACCAGGTATTGAACTCACACTCTGTGGGTCCTGTCACTGGATCTAATCAACGCCTTTATCCACTGTGCCATGTGTCCTTGAGGACATCTGGGTATTATAAACCTAATGTCTTCAGCAACCATTTTTTCCGGTGCTCATATTGCAATTTTTGCTGTTATTATTGCATGTTTTTACCAGAGCTCATATTGCAACTTTTTGTTGTTATCATTGCTTTTCTCTGGCACTCCTTATTACTGGTTCCCATATTGTATTTATTTCTATGGTTAGTCGGCTCAGGAGATTTTTGTGGCCTAGCATATGTGCTGATTCCTTAAGTTTACAAATTTTCCAATGGTGTTCCCTGTCTATGATCTCAACATGATCCCACAGAGGGCGGTGATCTCCCTTCTCTCTCCATATGTGGTCAGCCATGCGTGATTTTTCTACTTGCCCTCGTGTTACAGCTTTCTGGTGTTCTTGAAGCCTTACCTTGAGGGGGCGGCCTGTCTCTCCTTTATATTCCTTTCCGCAGCTGCACGGGATAGCGTACACACAGTCTTTAGTCATGTTCTCCTCTATGGGGGGGGTCTTACTTGGGAGAGATATCTGCAAAGTGTTGTCAAGCTTTTGAAGGTTGTCCTGATGTTATATGGACCGCAGATCCTTTGTATTTTCTCTGATAACCCCTTCACATAAGGCAGGCAGACTGTTTTCTGAGTGTTGTTCTCCTCCTCCTCTTGTACTCGCCTATCCCAGTTTTGGGGGGCTGCTGCCATGTACCCAGGATAGTTGTTACGTTGTAGGGCACTACTTATACTGACCAATTCTTTATCTAACGTCTCTGGGTCGTCACTTATGACTTTTGCTCGGTGTTGTAAACAACGGACGATCCCTTTCTTTACGCTGTATGGAAAGTGGGAGTTGAAATTGAGGTACTGTCCGGTGAATGTCGGTTTACGGTATACGGATGTCTTAAACCCATGCTCTGTTCGAGGAATGGGAGTGTGTTGTTAGTCTCTTTCTCCATTGTGAACTGTATTGAAGGTCTTATTGAGTTCACATGGTCCAGTAGAACCTGAACATCTTCTTGGCGTGGCCAGAGTATGAAGGTGTCATCTACGTACCTTAACCATATAGTTGGTTTTAGAGATATAGACTCCAATGCCATTTCCTTAAAGTATTCCATGTATATATTCGCCATTGCTGGTGATAATGGCGAGCCCATTGCTAAGCTCTCATCCTGTCGATATATGTGTGATCCCATTCTGAAGTGTGTTGTTTGTGTACAGAAAGTCAACATCTCCATCAGATTATCTATTGGAATACTGGTCCGTTCAATCTGTCTCTGACTACTGAGAGTGCCTCCTCCATGGGTACCTTGGTGAACAAACTCACCACATCCAAGCTCACCATCTGGTTGGATAGGATGGGAGCATCTTTGATTATTTCCACGAAGTGGGTGGAGTTTTGGACATATGAAGGAGACTTTCCGATCAATGAGTCAATTATATCTACAAGGAAGCGACTCAGAGGGTGACACACAGAGCCTTAGCAACTAACAATCAGCCTGAGCAGAATACCGTCTTTGTGAATCTTAGGGAGACCGTATATGTGAGCGGTTAAGGCAGTGAAGAACTTTCAGAGGGAAAATTAACAGGAGATCACTGATAACTGACATCCATCAAAACATGGCATGTGGAACTAGAACAGTCTACCCCAGTGAGCAAAATAAAGGGTTCAGTTCGACATTCCAACCACCTGAAGAAGGCTGGAGTGTACAATGGCCGAAATGTTGTGATAAATATGGCGACAAAGATGAGGACAATAGTCCGAATAATGTAAATAATGTACATAATACCTCATCTCAGAAATATAGACAGACTCAATATTGAAAGTGGGTTAGATGTACTGAACTTTGATCATTATTAATAATTTAGACATAATATTTTAAATTATTATATAAGTATTATTATAATCATTTAAAAATAATCAAATTATTCTGTCTGAAATAAATAATATCTTGCTGGTAATGAGAAAGAATTCAAATTTTTAATGTAATTGATTACAGGAAGATGTAAAAAGACTCAAATCTGAAAACGAACATTTGAAAAAAATTTTGGAAATGGAAAAAGATAAAGTTCACACTCTAGAAGAAAATATGGAGAAGTTATTCCAAAAAGGTAATATCATATAAAATATAATTTTATCAAGTCTTTTCAGTATTTTATGATTTAGAATATCTAAGAACATTTTAATATATATTTAAATATTTAATATGTTGAACTTTTAGAATATTGACTTTGATTCGCTTTCTCATACTTTGGAAACTCTGATATTTTAAGAAATCTGATTATTTTAAATATTAATGTTATGAACTTATTGCTTTTCCTTTCACTGTCTTGGGTTGTTACTTTTCTAGTTGGAAGAAAATTGTATCATCAGAGAAACAATATTTCATTTAGAAATCAAATGATTACTTCTTTCTACTATTTAAAAAAATGAAAACTGACAATGTTTGTTCATGTTATTCTCAGAACAAAATGAGTGCAACTGTCATGATCTACTTGTTATTAAAGAAACAATTATGTTAAATATAAAAATAAAATATATAAAATAAGTACTGGAATATTAAAATCAACCATTGTTTTTTTATTTGTTAAATATTAATGGAGTTATTTTTCATTTTAAATCCACTTTTATATATTGTATACTAATCAAATCTACAGGATCAGTTAAAGTTATAAGATAGATTATAACAATGATCATTTGCCCAGTAACCTTGACTATTAATATGAGTAGCTCATTAAAACAATCAATTTGTATTTATTATGTGAAGGCTACAATAGTTTAAATGTTACTGTTATTTGCATATTAATTCTCATGACGTGAACAGATAAAAAAAAAAAAAAAATTTTCATAATTTCATTTGTAGAGGTAATTATAATTGCCTATTTGAAATAGTTTTTTGTCAGAATTATATTAAATTACTAGCAGTAGAGCCCGGCGTTGCCTGGGGATGTAACAGTAAGAGATAGATCAAGTATCGACCATCATAAAGACTGAAAAATAAAATTGACAAAGATTATTGTTTAAGGTTGACGGACACGCATGTCTTAATTATGTTTTTTTTTTTTGAATTGGTCAAACCCAAACTCAAACAAAAAATATTGTTTACAATCGTTATGAGTCTATCGATTGGTGAATAGAATTTTATTATAAACAATTGTCTTGTAAATGGAATTTTTAAAACATTCTGAATGTAAATAAAGAAAAAAATGTGCAAGACAATAAAAATACTACCTGCCAAAAAAAAAAAAAAATTGGATGTTTGTTTTATCGGCTGAAAAATGTAAGAAATCTGATCCCATATATAAAGGAACACACACACACACACACAACCTGGGTTTTTTACCTATGTCACTCCACGGAATCAAGCTAAAACATAGAGCATAGTCTGATGAAAAAGACGCTAAAAGTTTATGAAAACAAAATTTTATCGTCAAAATGCTTATGTTTTTTATGAAGAGGATAGACTAAATTTTTTTTTAATTATTTTAAAAAATTTTTCCATCTTTTTAGAATATTCTAAATTTTGATTTAAAAAACCTTGTTTCTCTTTGTCGCAACAAGGGGTAGTAAAAAAAATAGATAATTTTTAGCGCCGTTTTTTGTATTTACACACATTAATTTGGAAAATCTTGCAAATATAAAAATAATTGTCAGATGTTAATGAAACTTTCAGAAACTATTCATAGATGATCGAAATTATTATAAATATGTTTTTTTTTTTATTAAAGTCATGGCAGAAATATTTTTTTATATTTATTAACACCCTCATAACTAATTTTGTGAAAAACTAAAAATTCGAGACCATCGGTTTTAGTGATTACAATAGTTAAAAGCACAAGGCTTTGAAGAATGCAAATCATGTATTTTTTTTTGGTTTTTTTTGGCCAACATATTAACAGTCTTATTTTTTAATTTCTTTATATTTTCCATAAAGTATCGTAAACGTAAAAATGAAAGCTAAGTACAAAAAAAAAAAATAAAAAATTAGAGCGCTGAAAGTTTTCCTTAAAAGTAACGAGGTAAATAATTTGTTCACTTAAATAATTTCACTTCCTTCCATCCGTAGAAAGAATTACCCTCCCGTAAGTTATCTAAACGTCATGAATGTGCTTTAATCAATCGTCAGTGAATCACGAAAGGTTATGACCTGCTTTGTTTTATTTTCAAATTACATTTTTTTACGCGATAGAAGCTAAGTTAAGCTTGGTTCAAAATATTTTAAATAAACAGTATAATATCTGTTTTTATTAAAATTAGTTTTGAAAAAGTGATAATTGATTTTAAAAGAATATCAAAGTAAGATTTTAATCTTTTTTATCAAATCGAAAAAATGAAAAATGATTGATTATCTGTCCTTTTTTTTTTGACCAAAAAAAACAATATTTTTAACGAAAATTTCAGACGTGCTAGGAACGATTAAAAAATGTAAAAAAATACTCCAAAAATACTTTGATCTTTCCTCTTTAATAATAATATGAACATTAGACGATAAAATTTTTTTTTTTCGGTCAAGTTCGAACTGTCTTTTTCATCATGCTATGCTCTTTTGTTTACATTTTCGTGGGTGAGTTGTCCCCTTTCATTCTCACGATGTGTCTTAATCGTGTTTTCAAATTGATTTTCTTAAAAACCAACTGTGTTTTTCCCATTTTTATGCCGTTAGAACCACCAAAAAGGTAATTTTATGTAGTCCTGTGAAGTTTTGTTGAAATCGGCAAAAATGTAGGAAATTGATCCAACATATAAACGTTACAGACACACACACAACCTGCGTTTTATAATAAGTAAGATGTCATTTTTAAAAAATAAAACTGAATTATTTTGTAATGAACCTTTGTAGTTTTTCTCTAGGTTTGTTTTTCCTCCCTGAAAAAAATGTTCAAGTATTTTTTTTCATATATCTTATTTTCAAATGAATAATTTGCAAAAGAAACTAAAATGTAAATGCAAGTATCATTTGTTTAATCTTTTTTAGCCATTTATTCAGACCATAGAAATAGAATAATTTCTGTGATTTTTTTATTTGTGAGGAGATTGCATAACTTGGATAAGCAAAGTTAAGCACCTATTTATGAATTTATTTTACTGTATCTAGGAATGGCAACCTCAAAAGACCTACTTGTTAGTGATAATCCTCAATCCTTGGCCAAGAGAATGGCTATGGTTGAAATGAAAGAGTTACATGAACGCCAACGAGCTGAACATGCAGTGAACATGTATGAGAAATATAAAACAGTACTTAGGGATTTGGAGAAAAGAAATAAAGAACTGGAAGAAAATATGTCCAAGGTGAGAACATCATGAGCATTTTTATCTATTTTTCAGGTGCACTCAAGGGCACAGCAAGTTCAGATATTCTTGAATGTGTTCTGTTAATTCAAATTCTGCAATCTTATTTACTTAATTTGAACGTTAAACAATTAGTTTATCTACAAAAATAATGCCTCCCTTATTCAAAATAGGATCCATTTTAAACTGGGCTAACTAAACATTTTAAGAGTTTTATCAACATGAAACTATATTAAAAAATGTAAAATTACAGAAATTGTAAAAATGTAAATAAAATTCAGTTCATTAAAAACTAAATCAAGATATGGACTTTAAATATTACTTGATTTTAACTAAAATCAAAGTTAAAAATTATTTTTGTTACAAGGATATAAAAATGAACAATTACCATTTTTAAGATATTTATCTCTCACTCAATGTTTTCATTCACTGCAAATAATTTTTATGTAAAACAATACATGAAAACATTATACATTTTTGTTATTGTCAGTATAAAGCTCATTTGATCTTTAGTTTAAAAACAATAATAAAAAGGAATAACTAAAACTATTCTGATGTACATTTAAATATTTCATTGACATAAATATAGATATGTATTCAAATCTTGAACATTGTAATCAATTTCTTAGTACAAGTCCAGCTTCTGTAAATTTATATTTTTACTTGTTTATATATTTGATTTTATATATTTGATATTTTCTCAAAAAATGAATCTGGAGTTACCTGAATATTCATTAATGTGCTTTTTTCTTAAATAAAAATAAAATATAGAATGTTTTTTGTATCATGCAGGTTTCACAAGTAAATCTTGAACTTCAAAGAACTGAACGTGAGCTGAGAGATGAACTTGCAAGTAAGTTGAGATTGGGGTTCTTTTTAATTTATTTGGAGAAAGGAAATCATTTGTCTTTTGAAAAAAATATTTTTTAGAATTTTTTTTATCTCCAACATTAGAATAAACTTTTCTTAATTTTATATTTGCTACAGAGTACATATCTTGCAAGTCTTTGTTTTTTATCTTATTCAATCTTCATTTGCTTCTTTTATTGTATTTTTTACAAATTAAAGTTAAATTGGGATTGCATATATGTTTCTTTTAATATTTAATGGCATTTATTAGAATTGAAACAAGTTTTTTTGTATGTCTGTTTTATTTTTACAGCTGTCAAGTTTAATTTTATTGAATTATGTAACTTTTTTCAACAGATTCAGTCACTAAAGAGGTCAGTGATGCTGATCGAAAGAGAATTACTGACCTTGAAAAGAGTGAAATGAACTTGAAGAATGAAATTTCAAAATTAAAAGTGAGTTTGTAATTTTCTTAACTTATTCTTTTCTTTAAACTCAATACAATTAATAACATCAGGTCACTTGGAAAGTAATGCTTCCTATTTTATTATTGTTGTAACCTAGGGAAGGTTACTGAATAGAATAATCACACGAAGGTTGATAATGAATGATAATACTTAGGACAAGAACAACACATATAAGATTTGCCAGCAGTGCGAAGAAGTAGTAGTCAACTGCTACAAGTGAGTCAAGTGAATTCCACAATTAATCTCCGACTGCAGACCACAGACCACAGACCAACACATACACTATTCACTACTGTGTTTATGGGAATGGGGGCATACCCATTATTGTCCGTAGGTATGCTACAACAATTATGTTGGCTGAAAACTTCAGAGGCAGATGTTGGCAGTGGAAGTTTAACTCTTCCTGCAAATAACCTATAATTTTTTTGCTTTGTTAAGGATAGCAGCTGAGTGACAGTCTGGTAAAATGCCATCTGACATGAAAGTGCATATGAAGCAGAGTTGTGTCATTGAATTCTGCCACATGCAACAAATTGCACCTACTGACATTCATCAACACTTGCTGAATGTTTATGGAGAGCAAACAGTGTATATGAGCACAGTTAGGTGGTGGGTAATGTGTTTCATCAGTGGTGATTGGTGTATAAAAAAGAGGGTTGCCTCCACTGGTGCAGATATTTATAGGTCCAGCATTCTTTGCAAATGGACTGTAATGGGGCTTATACTAAGTTAAAACTTAATCTAAAGAAGGGTTAAATTTTGTTCTATCCCCACCCCCGGTAAGTATTCCAGTTGAAAATATCCTGAGTTAGCAGGCCCATTAGCAAGCCAGCTGGACTAAAAAGGAGACCTATCGTAGGGCTTAGGATTTCTAAGCCAGCTACCAGCCTGGACTTCTTGTAAGCTGTTTTTTTTTTTTCTTTTTTTGTGTTTGTGCATGTGTAATAGGAGTAGGTAGGCTTTACTACCACCCAGTCAATACTCCTTCCCACTCTCATGAACAAGAGTAGAAGCTCATCCCTTGTTTCTTGTTTAGGAAGGGTTTCCTGGAACTCTTCCTCTCTTCTTCTCTGGCCTCGGTACTAGTACTGCTGTGATTCTCCAGTGATGTGTGCAGTCTGTGGCAATGTGTCTTCATTCTGAGGGTACTTGGTTGACAGTTTTCTGGTTGCTGTTCCCAACTTATAGTTGGAGCCCTAATTCTTGTGTAGCATCTTGAGCGGCCGCTCTGATCAACAGTTGTATAATACCAAGGTGCCTGTAGTGCCATGTTGCGCATGGAAGGGTGTCCCTGCATTCACCTCCAGTGGGCAACCCTGAGGCCACATTATATTGCAGGCTGCGCCAGTTTTTTTCTCCCCATGTCACAGTCGATGACAATCTGCTACTTCTACTTCAAGCATTTCTCTTTTTCACTTCCTAAATCATCAAACATGACAAATAATGATCAAAAAAGCAAACCCAAACCAGCTCTTAAAAAAATCACCTAAACCCTTTAAATTTCCTTCTCTAACATCCATAGCATTCAAACCAACTTTGGCAGTGTGAAATCGTACCTCATTGAGAAGTCTCCCGATATACTGGCTCCCTGCGAGACTAACCTCAACTCCTTTATCCCCTCCTCTAACCTCTCGATCTCCAGTTATCTTCCTCTCCTTAGAAAAAACTCTCAAACCCACATGCACAGCCTTGGAGTATACGTCAAAGACCATCTCCCACTGGCTAGAGAACTCTCTCTTGAATCTCCAGACCACTCATACTTGTGTCTCCGCCTATCTCTCCTCAATGCTGTAAGCTACCTCTTCTTCCTCTATTGCTCTCCATCCTCCCAAGACTGTGGTGTACTCGAAAGCATTTCTGACAATTTAGATAAGGCTATCTCTCTCCATTTGTTTGCTCATATATTTGTGTTTGGGGACTTTAATGCCCACGTGGCTTAAAAACTCTATAACTGACCTGGCTGGCATACAAGTCCTTAATTTTGCTATTTCTCAATCCCTCACGCAAATAGTTGACTTTCCCACGTTTCCCCAACAACCTGAGTGGTAAGGCTTCCCTTCTCGATCTCTCTTTCCCCTCTATCCCTGAGTCCTGTTGTGCCTCACAGCTCTGTCTTCTTGACAACTCTGATCATGCTGTAGTGTCTGTCAACATCTCCTCCTACTCCACCCCCAGCAAAGAAGCTTCTACCAACAGAACATCTTTCTGTTATCAACGAGCAGACTGGGACTCGTTCAGTGATTTCCTTTGAGATGTCCCTTGTGATGTGGTCTTTAAGCTCCCCATTCAAGAATGTGCTTCCAAGGTCTCCTCCTAGGTAAAAGCTGGAATTGAGGCTATAAGGTTAAATCATGCCATTGTTCTGAAGAAATATGCTCCTGAACTGGCTCCTGCCCTCTCCAAATTATATAACTACTGCCTCAATGAATCTTGCTTTCCAGCCTGTTGGAAGTCCTCATCTATTGTACCTGTCTTTAAGAACTCTGGAGACCCTTCTGACCTATCTAACTACTGTCCTATCAGTCTCCTACCACTCTTCGGTAAAGTCTTTGAAGCTTTAATCAACACCAAAGTGGTTAATCACCTTATATCCCATGATCTGCTTTCTGATAAGCAATATGGTTTTCGCTTTGCTGTTCTACAGCTGATGTGCTCATGGCCATAGCTGAAATTGTTTACCAAGCACTCCACAATAACAGAGAAGCTTGTGCCGTGGCCCTAGATATCTCTAAAGTGTTTGATAGGGCCTGGTATGCCAGCCTCCTTCGTAAGATTAAGGGATACAGAATTTCAGTTCGATTATTTGACTTAATACAATCATTCCTGTCAAACCGTGTAATGAAGGTCGTCCTTAATGGATTCTCCTCCAGTTCCTTTCCCATGAATGCAGGTGTTTCACAAGGCTCTATTCTAGGCCTTACTTACTCTGTTCCTTATCTTCATTAATGATCTCCTCGATGTCATCAGTTCCCAAGTAGGCATCTATGCTGACAATACAACTATTTACTCCTGCCTCAATAGCAAGTCTGGTATCACTGACAAAACTAACCTGGCCGTTAGTCTCAAAAAGGACCTCCAATCGGTTGTTGACTGGGGCAGAAATTGGCCAGTTAACTTTAATGCCTCTAAAACAAAACTACTCTCTATTACTCATCACAGAGGACCATCCCTGCCATCCATTAGAATGTCTGATGCTCAACTCCATGAGAGCACCTCTTTGCGACTACTTGGTCTTACACTGTCCACTGACCTGAGATGGAACAATTACATTGAATCAATAGCATCATCCACTGCAAGGAAAGTTGGTTCCCTGTGTCGCGCAAAGAAGTTTTTCTCACCCGAGTCCATCCTTCAAATTTATAAATCAACAATTCACCCTTGCATGGAATACTGCTGCCATATATGGTCCGGTGCCCCACTTTTTGCCTTAAGGTCCTCAACAAGATCCAGAGACGGATAAGCAATGTGGTTGGTCCTGATCTGGCATCTCGTCTATAATCGCTTTCTCACAGATGTGCTGTCGCCTTCTCTGTATTTTCTACAAATACTTTCATGGTAACTGCTCCGACAAGCTACTTTCGCTAGTTCCCAGACTGCATGAATTTAAGTGTGCTACCAGGCTGGCATCACAGTCCCACCCTTTCACTGTCCAAACGGTTAAATGTGGCTGTCTCTTCTACTCCAATACTTCATGTCTCGCACCTCCTGTCTGTGGAATTCCTGTCCTATTACTTGTTTCCCTGATAGCTATAATCTCCAACTGTTCAAATGTAATGTCAATCAACATCTCCAGATGCCCTAACTTATTCCCTGTCCTTCTCTTCATCCTTTCCTCCATCATGCTTCTTTACTCTCGCTCACACTCTGTAACCCCTTGCGTACTAGTGGCATCCTGCCTTGCTTGGGGTGAAATGCTTAAAAAAAAAAAGAAAAAAAAAAAGAAGGAAAATTCTTCTTTTGGAATTTTTCACCAATCAAAAGCAAGAAATTAAAACCTGTAATAATTTAATACTGAGGACTGGATGGTAAAGATCACTGTTCATTCACACATCGTCTGAATGATAGTCATACAGATCAGAGGACAATCTTAAAAATTAACCTTTGCTGTTGAGAACAACCAAGAACTAATGATTTTTTCTGAAACCAACTTCAAAGAGATGCAAACCAAACTTTTGTGATATCATCACATCACTGCTACAAAAACAATTCTTTTGGCGTTCTTCACCCACTGCATTTTTTGCGACTTCTAGATTTGAACTAAATTGCTGACAGATCTAAATTTCACAACTTTCAGATAACTTTCACTGTGTCCCTTTAAGGACATTTTTAATGTTATCAGTTGTAAGTCCTAATTTTCATATGAACATTATCTATTTACCCAACTTAATTTACATTAGGCACTCAAATGAATATTTTGAGCAAGCTATTATACCCTTCTTCCATCCCTAATTTAGATTTAATTGTAAATAAATTCTTTCTCTTCAATTTCACACTGAAGAGGAGTCCTTTTTTTGTGTGCCTAATAATTTCACTATTTTTTTTTCTATATTGGAATAAAATTCCATTAGTAATTTTTATTGTAACATTCATGAATTAACACTTTAACAGTGTAAAATATTAGTTAGTACTGGTAAGACACGAGTGCAAAGTAACTAATATTTCAAACTGTTTCAATTTTTTGATAGTTTCTGTTTCAATTTTCAAGATATTTCCAATGATTTTCAATGAAACTATAATTTTTGTATTTATTAATATAAGCTGATTTTTATAAAAGAATTTTCCATTAAGTTTTTACATATTTTTATTTAGTTGTAGAAGTTAAAGCTTAAAACTAGTCATTATAACTGCAATACAATGGAAACAGCATCTAACTGTATAATAAGCAAAATATCAAATGTTTTCAAATGGATTGAAAATGTAAATTACAAAATTTTGGTATTGATCTTGAATCTTTGTAAATTGTACATTTCTTGTTTCCGTAAATATTTAATAAATCTATTCTTTTTTTATTATTTTGAATAGCTTAAACCTTTTATCATTTTAAAAGTTGATTATAAAATTTTAATTTAAAATTTGTCTTTCCACTCTAATTTTATCTATTATGTTAATGCTATAGAAAGTACATTGCATTATTAATTGAAGCATCATAGCATATTAAAGTTTCTCCATTAGATTGGCTTGTTGTATACGTATCATTATTAAAAGCCTTAAAACAGTTTTTGCTAATAAACTTTAGTCAGTAGTTCCTTTCACAAGTGATTCAAGACAATGTTAGCAATAAATGTACTTTTATTAAGGTATTTTACAAATTTATGTCATTACTATTTGTTTATATGGCAGGAGGTATCTGATGTTGCCACATCCCAAGTGAGAGCATTAGAGATGCAGCAGATTTCACGAGACAAGGAGGTCATTTCTCTTCAACAGCAATTACTTGACTTTCAAGCACAAAGTGATGAAAAAACCGTGATAGGTATACAATGCTGTATAGATATATACACAAATCCAGGTACAAGCATAAATGAAGAGTTGTATAGAGAAGCACGTGCATGCACATATGTTTGCACAGAAATCTCTGAAAGTCTTAGGTAGTCAGATGCCTGAAAATTGTTCCAGTTTGAGGTTTGGAAATTATGGTGACCCTATTAGGTTGGTACAGAATACCTGTATTTAAAACATGACACCTTAAATAAATATTTGTTAATAATGTTAATGTCAGTTACATTAAAATAATTTGAGCTAACTTAATGAATCTATACTTTTTAGCAAAAATGTCAGATATGTACTAAGTATTCATACTTCTGTGATGTCAACGAACACTCGTCACTTTCGTAATGCTCATTGTAGTAGAGACTTTGTAATCTCAGATACAACTATAGTAACACCGTCGAACAATACTGGTGTCAGATGCCTTCAAATAACACTCGCACTAATAGTACTTGTTTGATAATACTCACTTGAAAAGTAACCACCAAATAGTGATCCGAAGAGTAATCCATATAGTGATCCCTTAGACGCCATGCTTATTCCCATATATACATTTCCTTTACCATCATGTGATTTACTTATTCAGAATGGGGTCATCTGTGTCTGCTCTCTGGTGATCTATGTTCAAACTCCAGTGTCAGCAATGACACTTTATTCCTATATAACATGTACATATAAAAAGTAAAACTTGATGAGCAGTCAGAAAACTTTATAATTATGTTAATATTGAATGTTCAATGCTTTCACTAAACCATTTGATAATGGATCCAGTTTTGTAATAAGTTTGTTGTGCAGAAATATGAAACATCAACCTCATTTAAAGTAAATGAAATATACGACAACATAAATATATAAAAAGTTCAAACAAAACACAAAAGTCTTTGTATAAAAACACTTGTATGTATTCAAAATTCTTAATACAAAGTTAGCATATATCCACTTGCAGAAGACTAGGTACCAAAAACAATGATTTTTGTACTTATCTGTTTGGTTGTCATGAGCATGAAATTGGTATGGCTTGTTTCTTCTATAACTTCACAGAATAAAAAGAGAAAGATCAACGTTCCTATCACTTTCCAGGTCACGTGACAGTTTTTTTTATTCTTGTGAATATTTATAATTTTTATTATCTTTGTTTGGTCAAGGGGGATAACTTTTTGTCTCTCTAAAGTTGATTGAATATACAAATTTTATTCTTTTAAGAACATCTGATAATAAATCAGGCAAAAACAAAAAGGAATTAAATTTAATTAATAATGGATCATGGAGAATGTGAAAAGGAATAAATATCTACCATACTGAATATAAAAATCAAAGTTAGTGAATATTTTCATATGCATGTCATTTTAAATTTATGTTGCTCTAATATATTTTAACTTACTTTCAAATGGCCTAGAAGATACAGCAGTGAGTAGTACAATTTAAATAATTTCTAGTGTAGCCAATATTCTGAACAAGAAAAGGAAACTCAGTAAGAAGCATACATGTTAAAATTATCACATCACTACATTAAGATTGTTGTTGTCTATGTTCTTTGTCATTTGTATCAGACTGACATAATATTGTTAAATATCACCCCATGAACCTATTTTGTTCAAATTATAAACTCAGAAGTTTTTTTTTTGTAAATAATACATACCTATTTGGTGCAGAATTAGGGATATGATGTTTTCCGATCCTATAATTTGAACTTTGGATGTATTAGTGTTATTATTACAGTTATCTTTTTTCATCCCTAAGTAAAAAAACATTTATTTTTTTCTTTGCAACTGCAGATAAAATATTAACTCAGTCATAATTGTTTACATTTTGTTAAAAATTTTGTATGCCAAAAAATTTCTTTGATTATTATCAGGCAAACTTCACCGTCACATTGTACAACTGCAAATCAGTGAGGGGACAGCTGTTCAGAAATTAGAGAGTGCCCTTCAGAAAGTGAGTAAACTTGAGGCTCAGGTATTACGCTTGGAACAACAAATTGATGAGAAAAATCAAAGTATATATCACAATCGAAATGAGGCTCAAAACAAAATCAAACATTTAAAAAGGAATCTGTTTGTAAGTTTTTGTATTTTTTCTTTGGTTAATATTCATATATTTCTAGGATGTTTTTGTACAAAATCGCATTTTATTATTCCTTGTAAATCTGTATTTTATTATTTGTTATAAATCTTATTCTTTTATTAATCTAAAGTTTATTTTAAACTCAGGCTCCATAATTTTTAGTCTAATATTTATTTGTTGCAAATTTTTCTTTATTTACATTAAGAATACTCTAGAAATACATTTTTGTGAATATAACTTTTTATAAAAAATCCTTATTAAAATTTGCTTAAAATTAATATTTTTATAATAAATTGTTAGTGAGGCTATTTTTTAATCATTCATATATAGAGGAAGGTAGAATTAGGTACAATCTAGTATTCTGTTGATATAATTTCTAACTGAAATTTATTCAATCATTTATTTCATTTAAAGCTGCTGCTTTATTTTTTATTGTAACTTTGGTTTTTATTATTTATAGTAATGTCAGCATAAAAATAATTCTTACATTTAAAGATGTTAAATATTTAACTAGTTTTTAAAATGAGAAAATTTTATAAAGTTGAAGAAAAAATTCTTAATTTTAAACTACTTATAGCTTTTCACAGTTATGTTATAAACTATTTTTATTTACTTTATAATCTTTATTCCTTATTAACTCATTTTTTTAATTATCATATTTTACTGTATTCATTTCATCTATGATAAATTCATTATTACACAGAAAAACCAAACTGTTATGAAGTCTGTTTTCCTTCATATTTTATCAGTCCTGTGGTAGTCATTTATCTTGCATATCAAGAGTTACTCTAAATTTACATATCACTACACAAACATTGATATACAAGTAACTTGACGCAATAATTTAATGAATTAGGACATACATGAACTTTTTGAACTACAAGGAATTCACTAAATGTACTTGCTATCAGGTTGAGATTATGACTATTGTCTTTGAATAACAATGACTGCAGAGTTATTTATTTGGCTACTGAATATTCCCAACAGAGTGAAAAAATTGCTCTTATCAAATAATTCCACATGCAGAATTAAATTCAAAATTAGATGGTATCTATCCATTCTGTATTCTCCTTTATTTAATAAGATGAATTTAACAAAGGTAAATAAATATTGAATTGTTCCATCTAATACTGATATTAAACCGAATAGGCCTTTCTTGAGCAGATATATCATTTTGGAGGTTGTCCATTATAAAATCTTCAAAGCTTCATTTGTATAACTAACTTTTAGCATAATTACTAATATCTATAGCTTATGAACCTGATGATTTTTACAAGATTAATATTAGTAGGTGAACTCCTTTTTGTGACTGGTTTGGAAGTTAAATTATCTTCAATTGTCCATGTATACCATGAAAATTAACCCTCATCCAAGAATAAAAATTAAAATATTTTACTATTTTCACTATTTCTTTTATCTGCAACTTGGTTGTTTATCAGTTATTGATAAGCCAATAAATTTTATGAATGTTTATAAATTTTCTAGAATTTTTTTTCTTTTTTTTTGTAGGACGTTCGACGGCAATTTGCAGGGGCAGTGCCTCTTTCTAAACAAGAAACATTTACAAGGAACATGGTTCAAATTAGGGAAGATAAATTAAAGACAGAACAAGAATTGCAAGAGGTGAAGAATCAATATTAATAAGATAATCTCTCTCTTTCTCTGTATATATATATATATATATATATACACACGCACACACACACACACAGGTTTTGTTAAATTCAACCAACAAGTTATCCTTCATTAATTTTTTATTGTATTTTTCCCAATTTTCAAATAAGAAATATTGAATTGCATATTGAAATCAAAATTGTGGCTAAACTGTTCAGAGTTCATGTTTTGTTTTGTTCAAGAACTAGGTGTTGTCAGTGTGGTAGATAAGATATTGTTGACTACAATCTAGCATTTTATGTTTTGTAGTTATTGAATTCATGACATTTCTAATTTCTCATGAATTGTTTAAGTTTATTTTCCTCTTTAAGTTCATCATAAAAGATATTGCTGAGTAAATACCATGAATGTGTGTGCATGTGTGTATATGTATAAAAATTTATGAATCTGTCTTATAATAATGTCAAAATCATTTTTTTTTGTAAAAGTTGTTATTAGAAACTAATAAGTTAATACATACATTCTTTTATACTGAAAGTTTTCATTATATTTTATCATATATCAATGATCAGAATGATTAATGTAATTATTTACTTGCTCTTGTTACCAAGGTTCAAGTGCAACGAAAACAAATGGAGGACAAAGTTTTAGAGCTGCAGTTACTTCAGTCAAGTCAGAAGGAATTGCTTGAAGCAACATTAAAAGGTAGCCATGCTGGGGCCAACAAATTAACAGAGTGGCACTCAAAACTGGAGGCTTTGCGTCTTACTGAGCTCAAACAAAAGCGTGACATTGTCAAATTACAAGAGAAGGTGATTAATTTGATTTAGTATCTTTTGAATTATAGTCTTTTTCTGGGGAAAGTTTTTACTTCTACAAGAATTATACAAATTGTAGTATGGCTGTTGGATCATTTTTTTGAATTAACCAAAATAAGTGAATATTACATCCTCTCTGGTGATAGTAGACTAACAATTAATATACTTAATTATAACAGACATTGCATCAGTTTATGGTCAAGGAAGCCAGAATCAATGCATAGCTGCTATAACACATATGGTGAAGCTTAGAAATGAACAAATTTACTTTGTGGTTGAAAGTAGACTTATGTTAGTACATTCTAATGTTTTTTAAACTCTCATCTCAAGATTTTTTAAAGAATTTATAAGAATTTTTGAAATATGAAGCAATATTTTGGAATTTTTAAATTATAAAGATTTTTTATAAAGAAACTAAAGAAAAATACCAGTGCTAACTGCTAATGGAGAAATTGAAATGACTTGCACATTTCTCCCAGTTTTTATGAAAATAAAAGTTATTTTAACATTTTATACTTTTTTTAATTTCAGATTAGTTTTCTTGAGAAAACAAATAAGCATCAAGAAATGACAATTAATGAAATTGAAACTGATTATGTTCGAGCATCCAAGGTAAAAAATAATGCTGTTATAAATCTTAGATTAGTATTTCATTTTTAGCATATTATAAAAAAAATATTACTTGCTTTATAAAAGTTGTAAGCCGCAATCATTAAATTTTTGACAAATTTATTTTATATTAGAATAATTCTATTTTAATGTAAAATAAAATAATAAAATTAATACTGATTTATTATGTTTTACCTAATAGAAAATAATGACAATATTGTTCCTATACTTAAAATTTTTGCATTTATTCAAGTGTCTTGGAGCTTGTAAGTTATGTTAGAATTCAGTTTAATTTCTTTTTGAATGTTCTTCATGAATTAAATAAATGTTGTATAATTTGTTGTAGGAATTTGAAGAACGTCAGCTCATTTGGGAACAAAGGGAATTAGAACTTGAAAAAGTTATTAGCAATATGGAAAAGCGAGCCTCAGATATTGCTAATGTTGCTGCACAGGTGAGTTTGCTTTCAGTTTTGTTCAATGTAGAACAAATATATATCACTTCAGTCTGTTTGAAATACTGCAAACAACATATATAACTAAAAAATACCAATTACAATTACTGCTTTATTATTGGAAACAAATTAAAGTTATCAATGGTATGTGTATAAAAATAGAATAACATAAAAAGAGAATATATCTGTTTGGAAAAACAAATGTTATTTTCGGCTATATTTATTATATCTCTTTGTTTAGTTTATAAATAATGAAATTAGTTTTTGATGTAATGAATATGCATACACCTGGGTTCCCCCTCACAGTAATATGATTGGCTGGTGTCAGCCATAAATACAGACTGATGTGGAGGTACAGGAGGACGCCTATAGTCTTTGCCTATTGCCTACCACTACGATGAGGACCCGTCCATTACGGTTACCTGCTAGATTGTCCTACTTGGTTACAGTAGTCCAAAACAATTTGCTATTTCGAACAAATATATCCCTTTCTGGGACATATCAGTTTTGTATTGAAGTCTTTTTTGGTATTTGTTCCTGTTGTTTTATTAAATTTTTGTTGTTTCTTGTAGTTTGGTAAAACTGTTGGGAATATTCCTGATGCAAGTCAGCCTGTGGCAGTTCAGTTAGAACAGGCCATTTCTACCATTAAACAAAATATGAAAACTATTTCTGAAAGTCAAGCAGAAGCTAAAGTATTAAAACAAGTAAGAATTTATTTTGTTTATTTTATTCTTACATTTATATTCTATGTCATTATTTTATTTTTATTAATAAATTTAATGGATATTATTCATTTTAGTATTTCTTTCATCTTATTTTTATTGCATCTCTCTGATTGTCATTCTAATATCATTAAGTAAGCAGCATAGATTGGAAATAAAGACTAATTTTTTCACAGGGCACAAGATTTACATAACTTATTCCTGGGAGCCTGTCTGTTCTTGAGAGTGCTTTACTGATTAAGCTACAAAACCAACCACTAGGAGTCATATAGCTATATAGCCATATAGCTATATTCTTTACTTCTATGAACATTATATACTATCATAAAATATGAGTTTAAATTTTAATTTCCTTTTTGCACTTTTTACTTCATTTATCATAGAAAAATCATATGAAAGTTTTAATAAAAACAGAAATAATATGAAATTAATTCTAGTAAATAGTAGTAATTGACAATGATTCATCTAAGAATTTTAAATCCTATTACAACTCAAGTTTAGTGATGTTTAGTTTATACTTATGAAATGGTGCATAAATAAAACTTAACCGACATCTTTGTTTTTTTACAAAATAAATTAATGGTATGTTTTCCCATCACTATCAAGTTAATACTCTTAAAATGATCAGAGAATATGTCATTTGAAATGTGATAAAAAGATAATGACATTTTCCAAGATGTTTTTGAATCTTTTCCCTTTCACAATTTTTTAATTGTTTGTTTCTGTTGTTTTTTCTCTTCTGAAATAGAAAAAAAATCTTGACTTTTGGTAATTTTTTTCATGCTAAGTTGCTATTGAAATAAAAAGTTACACTTCACAAATTTAAACTTTTTGTTCAGGTCAATTTGGAAATATTTTTCTACCTATTCCATCTGCTTCCTGCTTTTATTTCTCTTCAATGTTGTTTATTGTCTTATATTGCAAATCATTTTGTAATTTAGAAAAAAATAGCAAAAATTTTAAACATTTAATTGGCAAAGTAAATCACAGTTATTCTTTTAAAATTATGAACCTACAGCAGCATTCAATATTTGAGAATGAAAGTTTAAAAATAAAAAAATAATCTAGTTCTACATATTCAGTTATAATAAACGTTGCAGTAAATGTTTAAATTTTGCTTTTCATGATGTTAAATTTGTTTAAAAAAGAATGTTATAGGACAAGAATTACATTTTTCTTTTTTTTTTAGAAATCACTCGTAAACATGGTTTTCAAATATTGGATATTACTGTATTGTTAAATATTTAAATTCATTTCAAGCGTAAAACTACACAATAAACTTCAAAATATGTACATAACTCTAATCTATAACTGTCACTAAAAGTAATGAGTACAGAAATTAACTAGTAAATACATTTCAATTAAGAAATTTAGGTAAAGTATAACATCCTTATTAATTCAACAATTAGTTCAGTGCATTTTTTTTCCCCCCCAATATATTCTTTTTTTTTTATATGATAAATGTTGAACTTATTTTGACTAATTTTGTTTTTGCCTTCTACAAACTACTCTAGCAAACAGAAAAATTAGAATCTGCAGTTCGGGAAGCTGAAAAGGCTCTTATAGCAAAAGATAAGTTGATTTCTGAACTCCGTCTTCGTATGCCAGCCACAGCTGATCGTGATAGCATCATCCAGAAGGCAGCAGCTTCAGCAGTAGAAAGTGTCAAACAAGACTCAAACTATGATGATTCTAACAATGAACAAGCAATGAAAGTTGCTCAATGTGCAATTTCCAGTTTGAAGGTAATTTTAAGAGTATGTGTATTGTAGTAATTGTAAGAGTAAACAGAGTTCAGGACAACAGTAAAAGTGCTAAGTTTATTCAACAAAACTCAGTTACAAAAGGAAAATAGGAGTTACAAGTTAAATAGCCAAACTGGGCTAGTCCATTGCTTGTGCATAGTGAACAAAGGATACTACTACTATCACCACATTCTTTGTTCCTAGAAAAATGTAGCATTACCATCCATAATGATCTGGGGGTCTTGTCGTCCATTTGATTCTCCTAACCTCTTGGACCCCAGTATCATCTCCGTTATGCAGTGTGTCCTCCTCTGGTATGGGGACACCCAGAGTACTCCTATTTTGTTCAACAGTGGGGGACTCAGAGGTTAACTCTGTTTCCAGGCAGGGTGCTAAATCATGGACAGATACAGTAGACTCTCTTCCATCTGGATACTTTATGTTGGCATAAGTTGGATTACTTTCTAAGTGTTTAACTTGGTCTACATAAGGGTCGGTTTTACTATTTCTTACGAACATCCTTAATAATATGGGACCTGGTGACATTAGCCTCATCATTCATCACACTCCTGTGTGATGAATGATGAGGGAATACAAAGAAATGCTCATGAGGGGTTGTATTTGTAGAATTACGTAGCAACAATCTCACAGAGTGTAGCATTTTAGGAAGCACCAATCCTCAGTACTTCTCAGCTATATTTCACAATCTAACAGTTAACTGAATCGCCTTCTATATAGTTCCGTTAAATCATTCAACATGTGCATTCCTGGTTGGATGATATGGAGTGGTTTTACTTGTTGTGACCCCTTATTGGGAGAGGTAGTCTCTCAATTCCTTAGACATGAAAGATGCACCTCTATCAGAGTGTATGTAGCCAGGCATCCCAGCTAAGCTGAATGAAAGATTTAAGGATTTGATTATTGATGCAGTGTGCATATTTGGACATGGGAAGATGAATGGAAGCCGTAAATATTCGTCAATTACTACCAGTAAATATGGCAGAAGGCACAGGTCCCTTAAAGTAAATACTTAGTCATTCCATGGGTCTGGTCGCCTTGATAAGAGTGTTTTCTGGCAAGTTATAGAAACAAGGTTTAATTTCCGCACAGATTCTGTAAGAAGCACACACCTTTTTTGTGGGGAAAATAGAAACGGCCTACCTCACAAACGTTCTCGCATCTGCCTGGCCTGTAGGTTGAGAAAGGAAAGAAAAGATTCAAAATGGCGTCCGTGACTTTTAATATTCACGGTCTCGTGCAGTCACGCAAAGTCGCGTTACACACATGCTAATGAGGTGTGTCTGGGCTCCATAAAAGCAGGTTGCTTGGAGACATTGGCAGACCAACATTTCACCCGTGCTTGGTGTACATCGGTTTGCGTTGCAGCGTGTCAGACATTTTCAGACGGAAAGAGTTGCGTCCCTTACACTGTTTAAGTCGACTCATTTGCTACCTTTTTTTCCCTCTTCCTATTTCTATAATAGGAAGATTTTTCCCTCTAACGAAATGTAAGAGTCTAGTAACTCCTGGGTGGCATAGCCCATTGTGAATTTTGGTAAGAGCAGAACTGGTAATGGTTTAACAAGTGTAAGCTCGACTAAGTGCATTGGGAACTGTGTTCTTCTTGTCAAGGTGGTATTTTATTGTGTAGTTGAAGACTGAAAGTTTTAACCGTCATTCTTGAATCTTGGCATTCTAGTATGCTTTTCATCGATAAACATGAAGGCCACCAATTTCTGATCAGTAATTAGGGTAAAATGTTGCCATGGCAAATAGTGACTCTATTTCTGAAACCGCCTCAATAATTACCATGGCCTCCTTCTCTATTATGTGATACTTTGATTCACTTCTCTGTAGTGTTCTTGACATGAATGCTACTGGGTGTCTACTTTGGCTAAGGGCCACATCTGATGTGTCACATTCCACCTCAAAAGGTAAACTTTAGTCTATTGGGTTTAGTGTGGCTACCATCAGTTCTTTTTTTAATTGATCAAAAGCTTTGAGTGCCTTTTTCTCCAGTGGGAATTTTTTATTTTTTACTAAAGGTTGAATTTTATAAGAAAAATTATGTATCCATTTTGCATAATACGTGAACATGCCCAGTGCCCCTTTTACTGATTTTGAGTTTTCTGGAGGTGGGAGTTCTTTTAAGGGGCAAAGTCTTTCTGGGTTGGGCTTAATGATTCCACTGCTGACATAGTATCCTAAAACATTGATGGAAGTTACCAAAGACACAGATTTAAATTAATTGAGGGTAATTTTGGCTTTCACCATCACCTCCAGGAACCTTTTCACATTTTGGTCATGTTTCATTTGTGTGTGTTGTGCAATAGTAATGTTCTCAATGTAAGGGAAAACATCGTGTAGATTTTCTTTCTTTATTATTTTGTCTATAGCTCTCTGGAACAAAGCAGCCCTGTTTTTGATCCCAAACGGAATTATGCAGGACTGGAGCAAGTGACCATTCACCTCAAAAGCAGTGTATTTTCTATCTGATACTTTAAGCAGTACCTGGTGGTAGGCATTTTTGAGGTAAAATGTAGAAAAAATGCTGTATCTAGCAAGGTCTTTGATCATTTTATCAATTCTTGGTAGAGGATAAGCATCCAGTTCTGTATACAGATTTATCATTTGTGAGTAATCTACGCACATTCGTTTTTTTATGATGGTGAGTGGGGTCCTTTACCACTACCAACTCACCATGGAGAAACACTTTCTTTGATTATGCCTTCAGAAACCAGGTTCCGAATTTCTTTATTGATGAAGGACTGGTATTTTTTGTTAAAGTGCCTCGACTGGCAATGGGTTTACAGTTTGGTGATAAATTGGGAAATAGTGACGGGTTTTCTATCTCTGCTGCGTTTAATGTGCAAACCTGATGTCTACTGTCCACAGTTAATTCGGGCAGGGGCCCATCGTATTTTGAATGTTGTTTTCTGATGTTGACACAGAAAATCCTGATCAAGTAACATGTCAGAACATAAATCTTTTAAAACACCTAGATCGGTGGTAACATATGACTAACTGTTAAGGCAAAGGGTTAGATTTACAACTACATAGCTCCTTGAGTTAGTGCTTAAAGTTTTCTGAACCATGGTGATACCCTTACTGAATGGATGTTTTCACATAACTCTTTCACTGATATAACTATCAGTGCTACAGGAATTGAGTACATGTGTTGAAGCGGGATAGAGATCCCATGGTATGTTAGCAAGCGTGGTCAGGATTTGAGGACCAGCCACTGCTGCTACCGAAGATTTAGACTGACATGTATGAGCATAGTGTCCTTCCTTTGAGCATTTTTTTTTTTGTAGCTCTACAATCAGGACAGCGAATGGTAGGCAAATCCACAAAAAAAGCATTTACATTTGGCTTGACAAGTCGTGGCTACTGCTGATCCAACTGGAAATTCATCACATACCTTTGGTGTGTGTGTGTGTGGGGGGCAGAGTCAACTATTGCTGCCATTTGCACTTCTGGGGTAGTATATGTCATTATTTCTTTGTGCTAAGTCCAGATCTACAAACAGCTTACACTCAAGCATGAGTGTAAGCTGTTTGTAGATCTAGGGTTTTATTTTCTAAGAGATGCTGCCATGTGGAATTCAAACTTAAGCCTGAAATGAAGGCATTTCTCATAGCTTCATTACTGCATTTCTCAGTAGTACAGTCTTTGAAATTGCAGTTTCTTTTCAGCTTTTCTAGTTCTCTGAAAAATTCGTCCAGAGACTCTCCCAGATTCTGTTGTCTTGTGGCTAACAGGTGCCTTGTGAACACCCCGTTAGGCGTTTTAATAAATAAAGCATCCAGTTTTCTTATAGCCACATTGAAGTCTGTACATGCTTTGATATACTCAAATACACTGGGACTTATACAACTCCAGAGATCCCAGTATCTGTTTGGTATTCTTTCCTGGTAATCATTTATATAGTTTAGTAGGATAGTTTGCCATTTATATAGTTTAGTAGGATAGTTTGCCAATAGTTTGCGGCAGTCTCTTGCAGCTGTTGGTGGACAAGTTTTCACATCCAAGCATTTTAGCTTCCATGCTGTTTCCATGCTAGATTTTATCTACGTGTTTAGTTGAATAAATTGTAGTAATTGTAAAAGTAAACAGAGCCCAGGACAACAGTTAAAGTGCTAAGCTTTATTCAACTAAATGAAACTCGGCTACAAAAGGAAAATAGCCAACTGGGGCGAGTCCATTGCTTGTACATAGTGAACATAGGATACTACTACTACCATATGTATATTGTTTATAGTAAGTAAGATCTTTGGAGATTTAGGTAACAAAACTTGGGAGCATGATTATAAAGAAAAGATAGTGATGATTGTAAAAAAAATAAGCATAATGAAAAATCTAATAATATTAGATTATTTTAAAATTTGTTGCTGTACTTTTTTCTATCAGGCACGAATCCAACTGAAAGAAGAATCAATCCAAAAACTTCAGGATCTTTTAAAGGCAGCCCATGATGACATGGAGAAGATGAGTCGTAAACATTTTGAAGAACTACAAGAGATGCAGCTAAAGCTACATGCAAATACAGATAAATCTTTTCACAACTTTAAAGAAGCTGCTCGAGAAATTGTCAACAAAACTGACAGTGATACTGACTTTTCTCAACAGGTCATTTGAATATTTTTATCATTAATTTATTTTTAAAATTAATCTTTATTTTCTCTTAAATGCAAACAAAATTTACTTGTTTTTTGTTTGTTTGCATTAATATCAATAGTTATACAATTGTTAACTACACTCAGGTAAAAGTCAGAATTTTAAATACTGATTTTCAAATTAGACACACCATCTTTGCTTAGAAGATTACCAAAAAAAATCTTTCTCCTAATTTGATTTTGAACCAGATTAAACTAAGTTTATCACATTTCAGTAGTAATTACTTGTATTCTCAATAGTATCATTATTATTATTATTACATGAGACCAGGTTTAAAATTTATCAAATTTCAATTAATACAGATGAACAAAATTACAGTTCTTGAGGAACTGGTTGCTGAACATGAAGATGCTTTAAATGCCATGGTAGAACGATTAAAAGAAAAAGATGAAGAAATTTTGATTTTGCGCAAAAAGCTGCAGCAAACAACTGAACAAATGGATAAAGAAAAAGAAGAGTAAGTAAAAGTATTTAATATATTTTTAGGGGTTCAATACTTTTTCTTCTTTAACTATTATGAAATTTTATTACTGTTACTAATAATAATAAAATAGGTATGCCTCATTTTATGATTATAATGTCCTTGGGTTTTGTCTTTAAACAAATTTAGTTCATTTGTCACATTCTAATGAAAAGAAAAATCAGTCTATTGACATCATGATTTTTAGAGATTAAATTTTAAAAGATAATGAAAATAATAAACAACAATTAATTCCCCAAAACTGGATGTCTACAATAAAAGAACACTTGTTCATTATTTTGTAACTTAAATTTTTAATTAATTATATCTCATAATATCTAACAGAGAAATAAAAGTTATCAGATACATGGTTTAATTCTGATTCCTATTTGTGACACTATGTGATGGGTGCTTGAAGAGGTTCTCTCTCTCATCCAACTCAAGGTAGGTTTTGTGACCTGTCAGTCCAGAAGCACCTCACATATTGAGGTCTTCTGTTAGTATAAGTAACAAAATTGTACCCATCGCTAGCTTGCTAGACTTGTCATGTAGCTTTTAGTACCCCTTGGTATTTCCCAGTGGTAGCGCATCTGAGTACTGACCAGGCTCAACATTGCTTAACTTTGGTGATTGGATGAGAACTGGTTTTTCAACATGATATGGATGTACCAATTGAAGAGGTTAATGTAGAATCTGTAAGGAAACCATAACAATGAGATAAGTGTGATGGTCACTAGAGACTGTTGAAATGAAAGGAATGATAGGCAGATCATAGTCTTGATAGCTCTTATTAGTATTTTTGTCTCCTCTATTTTATCACTTCTGTTATTCTTTTATAAAATAATACATGTTCTGGTTTGGACAAACAGATTTCATGTGTATTTTCAGGTATATAGCACGAGTTAAATAGGATTCTGAATTTGCTTTGACAAGCTGAAAGAAATAGTATTTGACTAATTTCAATATATTATTTGATATGCTCTCTACAGGATAATTTTACAACTTAGCCCTGATGTTTCAACGGATTTTGATGACAGATCTATTTTGTGGACTTACAAACTGAAAATAAATGATTGTTCTTGTTAAGCCATAAACCTATTTTCTGGTTATTTCTTACCTTGGTCCAACATACTGAGTGACATTACTGACATTCATCTTTAGTATGATATCTTCCATTCAAAACCAGAGTAAAGAGAAAAGAAGGTTGAAGCTGACACTCATGGAAGTCTAGTTATCATGAAAAGAGCAATTTCAGTATGAGATTGTGTTGCTATGACCACATTTCAACTTAAGGATTTGATAGGAAAATAAAGCACAAATCCAGTCATTTACACACATATGCAAACACACAAATGATCAAGACTGTTGAGGAAATAAAAAAATACAAAATTTTTAGTTTTTATAGGTGGCTGAAAAAATGCTCCTGTGTTTTTGAGGTAGGTGAAAAAGAACCCTTTGAGTCTTCAGATGTAGCAAAGAAAATGTCCTTTGAATTTTGGAGGTGGAGGGAAAATGTTAATATGTTAAAAAAAAAAAGAAAAGTAAAAAGAACTTCTGTTATCACACAAAAATTACCAAGAACAAGAATGTCCTATAGAAGGGGAAAATACAGAAGAGGTTGGCACAAAAAAAATAACAATACAAAACAAATAGACTTACTAAATATTAGAATAATTTCCTGTTAAGCTCTATCTCTACAAAAGCTATATCAGACCAAAAATGATGTATTACTGCCATACCTGAGCCAGAGCTGCCCAATTCTCACTTTCTAGCCATGACTGTGTTCCAAAGTGTTTGCACAACCTTCTGGATGACAAATTGTTTTCCACCCTTCAACCCCTTTATGACAGATGAAATGTTGGTAGCCCTTCACAGCTAGGACCCACCATGCCACATGCACTGAGTTGACAAATCCTCATTTCTTTCATATTCCATTGGTAAGGAGTAAGTTCCACTTAGATAGCTTCTTCCCAAGAATTGTTGAAACAGGGAACAAATCCCATGGGGTTGCTTCTCTGATCACTAAAACCTTAACATCTTCAGGTTGAGGGTTAATCATTATCTATCATACATATCCTCATAACATGCAACTCTTGTTCCCTCCCTATATGCTCTTATACCATCCTCATTCAGTACCCCTCTACATTGAGTGGCATTCAAGCCTTGTATTGGGTGAACAGTAGTTAATAAAAAAATTATAAAGGATTATCATGAGCAGAAATTAACATTAAAAAATCACTAGATGTTAACAGGAATTATTGATCTTGCCTTAGAAGATGGACAGGGACAAATGAATATATATACATACATATATATATATATATATATATATATATATATATATATATATATATATAAAATAAATTTGAAAGTTTAACATATTATAATTTTGTATTTGCATTAAAATGTAGTATCTTAAAAGCTGAATGTTAAGATTGTTTTTTATTTTCGAGCAATAAGATGACAGCATGGCATTGATTTTAAGTGGATGAAGAATGAGTGCAAATATTGTTCAAAGAAAAGTCTTTTTTTGTCATTGTGTTCTTGTATTATGGTTCTTACTTCCACAACAATTATATTTTTTTTGTTTGTCTTCATACCATTTGCAAATTAGAAATAAATCCACATTGTTATGTGTCTGTGTACAGATATATATTATCTACTGTTTCCACCTATGGCAGATTGTATAGTGGTATCACTTAGTTCTTTCCACTTATGATACAAGGAGTAAAAAAAAAAGTCCACCTGTTGGCCATTAGTGGTGACCCATAATGCTTGAGGATGTGATTCTGATGGCTGAGTAGTCCATGATCCAGGATATTATGTGATCTACAACACACCACTTTGGCCCTTACTTGGGCTAGATAGTCAGAGAGGCTCAATTCAATCAGTTATGTCAAGCCCTAACATATATGTAATTTTAAGCAATAACATATAAATCAATTGTTTCCTATTTACTCTACCACCATCATGACCACTAGTGGCTTATTCATATTTATATGTTATACTTCCTATAAATACATAAATAGCCACACTAACAGAACCACAGGTGGCACATTCATACTCATAAAGAACTCCATACCACATAGCCAAATACATCTCAATATGAATTTAAAAGCAATCACAGTATTAGAAACAATACACAAAGCTATAACAATATGCTTTGTATATATCCTCCAAATGATAACATTACAGCAACAGATTTAAACAACCTAATACACCAACACTCAAAATCTTTCATCTTTATGGACTATTTCAATAGCCACAATGAAATATAAGACAACCAATAAAAAAGTCAAAATTCATACAAGTTCCTGGTTTTTTGAACAGTTTCTTGTTTAGGATTAGTTTTCAGTTCCTTCTAAAGTCTACTTTAGCTGTATACTTCTAACATTTCTGCTTAAACTAATTTTTTCTCAATAGGAGTAGATATGCTCACCTATTTTTCGGTTCACTTCGTCCCTGGTCTTTTGAACAAGTAAAGGTTTATCCTTTTTTTCCTGTTTAGGATTGGGTTTCCAGTTCTTTCCAAAATCTTTTCAGTCTCTTTCACTCCCAGTAGCTCCTTGCATTTTAGTGGCATTATCACCCTGATTCTATGAACTGATTAAAAAAACATAGAAAGCTTACTAAACCAAAAGAATCTATTCCTATATAATAATAAAACCCACACATATCTTCAACCAGTAACTGGCTCCTATTCATTGATAAACTTAACCATATATGCAGCTCAACAATATCACTAGATTTTAACTAATAAGTATATGAAGTGGAAGTGACTACTTCCCAATTATGCTAAAGCATCTTGACTCCATTTCTGCAGACAAAATACTAAACTGGAATTTATATAGGACTGACTAGGAAAAATATAAAAACTTTGCTGCACCAAACTAATTCTAGAAACAAAGACGATCCAAAAGAATCTTATCACTCACTTCATCAAAATATTCTTATCCATTGCCAAGGAAACTAATAAAATACTGCTTACCAAGAAAACAGAATACAACTTAGTTTAATAAAGAATGTAAAAAAGCTATCAAGTCATGCAATGCAACACTTAGAAGAAATTTAATAAAACTGAACAAAAGAAAAAGAACTTCAGCAAAATTAACAAAAGGCCAATGGAAAAAATATATTGCTAACCTTCCCACAGAAAACTTCTCATGAAATCCATCCTCTAAAAACCAAAGGAAAAGATTCTAAAAACAAAATGAAGAAAAAAGAAAATTAGCTTCCAATCCCAATCTATTTTGAGTTCAACTGCTTGTAGTTTACCATCTGCAATGGTAGATATACCTCCATTATTTTTGAATTTCAATCCTAACAGGAAACCTATTTCTATGAAATCTAGGTGATTTGGAACTGAGATTAATAAAATGCTAAGAAAATGGAATAATTGAGGAAAGCATGTCTCATTGGTGAGCTCATTGACAATGAATGGCATAAAAAAAAGATTAGTTGTGGATAATAGTAGCAGTATTAATAGATTCACTCAAATCAATACTTACCCTCTATCATGAATGGATGATCTGGCTTTGGAAACCTCAAATATAAAATTTATTCTTTGGATTTGAAGAGTGCCAAGTACCTATTTGAGGGGAAGACAAACTGTACACTGCATTTGAAGATAATGGTAAATTATACCAGTTTTGTTGTATTCCATTTGGAGTTATTAATAATGTATTTTGCTTCCAATGCATAATAGGCAATATTATTATAAGGAATAACTTGCACAGAACATATATGCTTATGTAGATAACATAGTTGTAGCTGGCAAAACTTAAGAGGAGCACAATAAAAATTTATCAAAATTTTTTGAGGTAGCCAAACTACATAATCTTACTTTTAATGAAAAAAGTCCTCCCTATCAACCACTTCTATTAATTTTCTTGGCTACACCATAATCATGGCATACTTAAACCTGATGCTGACTGATTCTGGCCACTTAAAGAATTACCTATCCCTAAAGATAAAGCTGCCCTTTGTAATGTCCTTGGTTTGTTTTCTTATTATTCCTAATAGATATTAAGTTTTTGTATACGATCAGACCCTTAATTATGGCTGATTTATTCCCTTTAAACTGTGATTCCATGGAAATATTCTGAAAACTTAAAGAAGAAATCGAAAGTGCTTTACTTCACATTATTGAAGAAAATGTCTTGCTAGTAGTCGAGATGAATGCATCTTATAAAGCAATTGCTGCTGCTTTGAATCAGGCTGACTGTCCAGTGGCTTTCTCCTCATGATTGACTGAATGAAAGTATGCTTCAGTAGAAAAGGAGGCTTCAGCTACTATAGAAGCTGTAAAATAGTAGTCTCACTAATTATCTGACTGACACTTTACCATCGTTATGGACCAGCAGGTGGTGAACTTCAGAGACCTGGGAAAATTAAAAATGATAAGATCCAGAGATGGGGAATGGAACTGAGGAACTATAATTATGAAATTACTTATAGAACAGGGAAGGATAATATATTTCACAGATTCTTTGTGGTGCTATCCTACACAAAGAAAAGATATATGAGCTCCATGATCATCTTTGTTACCCTGGTATAATCAGGTTAGCACACTGTCAAAGTCAAGAATCTACCTTAATCTATGGAAGATGTAAAAAAAGTATGTGCTGACTGTGCAGTTTGTGCAAGATAGTAACCATGTTTCCA